AACACTCTCTCTATGGGCTCTTGCCTGGCTTGCTTGGGAGGTAGAAGTGCCTGCAGGAGTCTCCGTAGCATATGTGGTAGCTCGGTCTCCGGTATCTCTTCTCCGATAACTCGGATTTTAACGTTCAGGCTGTGCTTCTGATCCACCAGTGCCGCAATGCGTTGCTCATAGTTAAGGTGCTGTTGTTTCGGCTCTTGCACAGCTTGCTGCATGAGTTGTGATTGTGTATTTTGGCGGGAGTCAGCCTCCAGTGTACCCAGACGGCCTGTCAGACCCTGCAGGTCCTTGCGCAGTTGGGCCATGTCAGCCTGTATTGTTTGTTGGAGCCCTGCTAGTAGTTCCTTCATGACCGCAGTGGTCACCGGAGAGGAGTCTGGTCGCGGGAGAGACTGGAGAGGTGCTATCCCAGCAGGTGAGTGCTTCGCTTCCACTTTAGTTGTGAAGTCGTCGTAGACATCAGAGCAGAAATCATTATAGGCGGCCATGTTTGGGCCCTGGGCGCTTGTTTCCAGAGATCGCCTATACTTAGGTTGTGCCGCGGGCAGCGGGTTGTCGGGATTAGGCTTTCCAGTTTTTCGGCCCATGTCGTTGGTAGCGGTCCGCGGGTCAGTTTGATGCCGGTTCCGTTGGGATGGGGCTATGTTAGCAGGCCCAGAGTGCTTGTTTGTTGCGGCGCCCCCAGACTAAAACTTTTTAACAAACAAATGTGCAGGTATCATATGCACCTTTAGCAGCAATCTATAAACTAACTCCTGCAAAAAGAATTTAACTGGAGATTTAGGGGAAGGAAACTGACTGACCAAAAATTGCCGCTTTCAAAAACCAGGCTCAAACACAGCTTTTTAACAAAAATAACCCTTAAGGGCAAAAAAAAAATTACAGACAGTACAAATGTACTACTGTAACAGGATTTGGCAGGGAAGGGGTTAAAAAGGATTTAAAAAAATAAAATAAATACAGTGTGGAACAATTCTGTCAACAATATATCACGATCTCTGTCTCTCTCTCTCCCCCTTTCAAAACGCTACAGAGGAGAGAGGGGCAAAGATCACTGTCAAAGTGAATGTTTATAACACCCACTTTGACAGCAGCCAATATTGAGCGATCGCATTTCGCTCACACAACATAATTGGCTGTTACTATCTGCCTCGCATGCCTGGCAGATAGTAACAGCGGGATATCGGTGGAAGTGATCTCTGATCGCTCACGCTGCTCGTTTTCCGTTATGACGGTTCAGGACCGTCATCGGTCCTCATGGGGATGTTTCCGATGACGGTCCAGAACTTCTTTTGTTTATGTTATGCATTTACTGAGTAGTTTGAATTTGTGACATGTATAGCTTGGAGGAAAGACGAGACAGGGGGGATATGATAGAAACATTTAAATACATAAAGGAAACAACACAGTAAAGGAGGAGACTATATTTAAAAGAAGAAAAACTACCACAACAATAGGACATAGTCTTAACCCCTTCAACACGGAGTCAATAGTACACGTTCTGATCAAAACAAAATGTAAACAAAAACTGGAATTTGCGCTATATGTCTGTTCAACCGTAATTCACCTCTTTCATATTATATGCACCCACACTTATTATATATCATTTTGTTGAGGAGAAACAGGGCTTTCATTTCATATCAAATATTTTTATATGAAACATAATTTATTATGAATAAAATAAAAAAACAGTGAGAAATTTTAACATTTTGTAAAATTTGTAGTTCCGCCTCACATTTTAGTTGTAAGTGTCATAATACTGTTAGCTTTTACTGCAAAAAAAGCACATATTTGGATTCAGCAAAGTCTCACGAGTACAACTGTAGCCCCCATTAAAAGTTTTTACGGTGTTTTGGAAAGTTAAAAGGTCAAATATAGCACATTCCATTTTTCAGTTTTTCACATTGAAATTTTCAGGATTAATAATGTTACCTTTGAGACCGTGAGGTAGCCCAGGAATGAGATTTACCCCCATGATGGCATACCATTTGCAAAAGTAGACTACCCAAGGTATTGCAAGTGGGGTATGTCCAGTCTTTTGTAGTAGCCACTTAGTCACAAACACTGGCCAAAGTTAGCATTCATATTTGTTTTTGTGTGAAAAAAGGAAAAGAACTAATATTTGGCCAGTGTTTGTAAATAAGTGGCTAGTAAAAATGACTGGACATACCCCGTTTGCAATACCTTGGGTTGTCTACTTTTGCAAATGGTATGCCATCATGGGGGTAAATCTCATTCCTGGGCTACCACACGGTCTCAAAGGTAACATTACTAATCTGGCAAATTTGAATGTGAAAAAAATGAAAAATGGAATGTGCTATATTTGACCCTTTAACTTTCCAAAACACTGTAAAAACTGTTAATGGGGGCTACTGTTGTACTCGTAAGACTTTGCTGAATCCAAATATGTGCTTATTCCTGGGCTACCATACGGTCTCAAAAGGCAATATAACCAATCTGGCAAATTTTAATGTGAAAAAAATGAAATGCAAGCCTTATAGTTGACGCTCTCATTTTCCAAAACACCATAAAACCTGTACATGGGGGTACTGTTTTACTCAGGAGACTTTGCTGAACACAAATATTAGTGTTTCAAAATGGTAACTTGTATTACAACAATAATATCGTCAGTAAAAGTGCCGTTCATGTGTGAAAAATGCAAAAAACTTCACTTTTACTAAAAATATCATTGTTGTAATACAAGTTACCATTTTGAAACACTAATATTTGTGTTCAGCGAAGTCTCCTGAGTAAAACAGTACCCCTCGTGTACAGGTTTTATGGTGTCTTGGAAAGTTACAGGGTTAAATATAGTGCTTGCAATTCAAATTCTCTGCGCTTTTTGCCTGGGTTGTCAGGCATGTCAATCAAATTTTAACTAATTAAATCACATAATTATGTTAAAATATTACTTAAATATACACTTAGAATTTTAATATATATACATATATATGTATTTTAAGTCTACGTGTACACTTATGTAGTTATTTATGTAATTATATATATATATATATATATATATATAGAATGTCATTCTAAGTGTATCTTGTTACCAATATATATTAATAACCAAATACAGTTAGAATGAAATTACATATGTATATATAATTTATTTACATTTTTAAAAAATATTTTATTTATTTATTATTGTAATTATACGTGTATATATAAATATAAAATATATATAGATGTATTATATATATATATATATATATATATATATATATATTATATATGTAACGTCATTCTAAGTGTATTTTAATACTAATATATGTACTTATATTAACATTAAAATACACTATGTATGACGTTACATATATATAAGATGTGTATATATATATTTTTTTATATATAAAAATACATTTAATTTATTTTAAAACATGTTTAATAATTTTTTATTATTCTTCCCACCAGCAGGGGGACTGTCTGACATTTCAGAAAGTCTCCCTGTTGGCAGATCCACAGCCAGCCATAGGGGGCCATGTGATCACTCTTTGAGAGCGATCACATGGCAGTGTTAAGGGGTTAAAGGGGAGGTAAGTACCTCCGAGCTCCTGGGGCTGCAAGCCGTTACGGCGTCCTATGCCGCCGCAACTGCTTTAAAGACCATTTAATGCGGGACGGCATAGAACGCTGTAACAGTGTTAAGAGGTTAAATTAGACGGACAAAGGTTTAAAAATAATATCAGGAAGTATTACTTTACTGAGAGGGTAGTGGATGCATGGAATAGCCTTCCAGCTGAAGTGGTAGAGGTTAACACAGTAAAGGAGTTTAAGCATGCGTGGGATAGGCATAAGGCTATCCTAACTATAAGATAAGGCCAGGGACTAATGAAAGTATTTCGAAAATTGGGCAGACTAGATGGGCTGAATGGTTCTTATCTGCAGTCACATTCTATGTTTCTATGTGACCCTTTACTAACAGGACCAAGCAGGAAACACTGCTATAGCCCACTTAGTGGTCTTAGTGCCCACTGCATAGCGCGAGCGTGTCTAATGATGCTCTCATTCTGTGGAGGCGGGACACCAGGGAACTAAAATGAGAAAGGACTCAAAATCTGGACTTTTGGGAAGTATGATAATTTTTGCAAATCAAAGCTATGCGGTAAAGGGACAGCAGAGAAATGTTCGGCTCTCGACTTTTGTCATTTCCCACAGCTGTCAAAACAACATTTTGCATCTGGGATCCCATATTCTCAACCAACGACCTTTGTGTTATACTTTTGTGCATGCACAAGCGTACAGTGGTGATGTGCCCCTGGTGCATGATGGTACAGGAGCTGAAGGAAAATGAAGACACCTATAATTTACTTAAAGGAACACTATAGGGTCAAGAACACAAGCATGTATTCTCAACCCAATGTTGTTAAAAACACCATCTTGCCCCCCTCTAAGTATAGTATAATCTTATTTTTATTCCAACCTGCTGCTGCTTGCTCTGCCCCTGATCTGCCTGCTTGGCTAACTACATCACAAGTGATTCTCTCAGCCAATCACAATGCTTTCTGGCTGAGACTGACAAGGAAGCAGATCGGGGCAGAGCCAGCATGATTCAAACACAGCCCTTGCCAATCAGCATCTCCTCATAGAGATGAATTGAATCAATGAATCTCTATGAGGAAAGTTCAGTGTCTGCATGCAGAGGGAGGAGATACTGAATGTCAGTCACACTGTGCAGCACTGCCCCAGAAAGCACCTATAATAGAAGCATTACTAAGAAATGCTTATCTATGGTTTTGGGCGAGACAATTATAAATAATAACCAATAATATTAATAATAATCACTGAGCATCAAAAATACCGTCATAGACACAGGGCGCAAACTGCGCATGCGCATGCGCCGCCAATACTGCGCTTTCCTCACGCGCCAGAACTGCCTGCGCGAGGGTGTTGGGAACGATCCCCGCGCATGCGCCGTGATCCCCCTTACCCTAGCTTGGAACGTTCCACGCATGCCCCACTCGCAGCCTTCTAGTTCCCGCCCAGCAGGCTCCGCCCCTTGACTGTCAAAGCGGCCGCGGGGCATTGTGGGAGCGGCTGAGGCGGTAAAATGGCGGATCTGGCAAACGAAGGTAAGTGTCGGGACACAGTGTGGAGTCGGTCCCCCCCCCCACCCAAAAAATGGGGCCTTCGCCCGGTGTTCCCGCTTGCCGGCATTGATTGTGCTGGATGTGTGGAGGATGATGTGTTAAAATGTCTCACCACCGGCTTGGGCTCAGTGGTCCACCCCGGGGGACTGAGTGCCAGGCTGGGGGCGCGGTCCAGGACAGTCCCTGGCTTGGAAGAGGCCTACAATCTTTCTAGGCCAAGTTCTCCCACAAGTTTGCCCTGGGTTTATTCTCTCTAGCTGCCCTTAGCCGGTATCATGATGCAGCATCTAGTCTGCGCCTCCCCTCCTGTGCCAGGCCCCCGTATTAATGATGATTAAACCGGTCTGATATCCCACGGTCTGCCAGGCTGAGTATCACTTACCTCCAGGTAACAGCAGATTGTTTCATCAGACGGTGAGGGAGGCACGAGTTCAGATTCCATCTCACACCACCTGTACAGGATATACATTGTATTGTCCCAACTAGAAGACAAAATTCAAAGGTGGTCATTTAAAAGCTTTTTGTTTCCAAAAGTCCACGTTTTACGAGCATATCAAAGCACGATATTATTAAAACACTGCAGTATACATGTTCGTCCAATTTGTCATCAGAACTGAATTGTTTTTATCTGCGAGACAAGCAGCCTCTTATAAAGTTTCGTTTTCTGGAGGAGTCATTTAAAAAAAAAAAAAAAAAATCTAATCTCACCCCCCCGTGCAGGTTAACATTTCTTCTTTGGGTTGTGTATTAAGAACAATAAAAACTTCATTGTATTCCCACTGCCAATTGTAAAAAAGTACATGGCCATGTGCCTTTTGGTTTTAGAATTTACAGGTACTCCTAGATTGATTGTTTGTTCCTGTAACATTTTTGTAATTTGTCAATTTTAATGTTAAATTTACCCCTTTTTATAATATATTGAAAAGCTCTGCGGAATAAGCTGACGTTATATAAATGTCAATATTGGTGCTGGAGACTAGTTTTGGGCAAGTGGATGAGGCATTGTTGGAGTTTGAAGCTTTGTGTTTAGGGGGTGCAAGGATTACGGTACTGCATTTACTTGCGGTTCTCAAAGATACATAGATAATGCATTAAAGAAACACTAGCACTGGAAATACAAAAATTTAAAATCAGTGTTTCTGCACAAGTTGAGACACACTTGGTGCTGCTGCTTGACCACTCCGCCTCCCACAGTGTTGCCCGGCACGCTTGGCTTCTCGTCTAATCCAGTGCTTCTCATTGAGGATTAAAGCGCATGTGTGGTGAGTGCCATGCTTGATCAAATACTTGTCCTGGGGAGACATTAAATACAATTGTAACGGATCGTTTTGCACACAAGGGGTAAAAACCGTTTAGGCTATCCATTCCTAGCAATCAGTCTCTATCAGCATTCAGTAAATCCCCTCCCCCCCCCCAAAGACAAGACAAGGCTCTGTGTTGAGGGTCAAGCAGTGGTCTGTTTAATGAGGGCTACCTGCCCAGTATTTATGCAGGTCTCCCACCTGGTGGACACTCCCCTAGGGGACCAAATGGGAGACTGTGACAAAGGACAGACAAGTAGACAAATAGGACACACAGTATATTCCCACAATGCATCCTGGCTTCCGCCCCTCTGCCTTGGAGATAATTGAGAAGTAATTCAATTATCTCCCAAGACAAAGGCAAATCGCCATTATGTACGTGGGGATACTAACACACAAATTACTATTAAAATACACTATGTGAGACACATAGCATTAAAAGCATACATTTAACATATCCCCAGATAGCTCAGGTCTGAGCGCACATTATTAAGCGAATGGCGCTCAGACCACACGCATACAGTTTAATCGCCATGGAGCTAAAGTCTTTACACAGTCAGTTCTCATGCGAATGGGCTCCATGGGATTCCTATCTGGGGTATAACCCATTCCAGTAAAACTACCGAACGCCGGGCCGTTCGTGCATTTTCACCGACCAAAAAGGGAGGTCGGCGGCTTCAGCGGTGTTTGCGCAAAACTGTGTCCGATTTTTGTTCTGTGCATTCGCATGTTTAAAATGGCCGCGACCTTGTGTTCGTGATGCAAATGGCGGCCACCCAGCATTCGTCAATTAAGCTGCGGTTAACTGCAGCTTCAGGGAGGCTAATTGCCGGCACCCTCCAGCTCCCAGGTGGTCCAGTCATTCGTGCGGTTGTTCGGTAGATTGAATCTACTGAACACCAGGCAGAAAAGCACAAATAAAGCTTTTCTGCAGGCGAAACAAAGTATTTTAACATGGGGGCCATATTCCAAATGGCAGTGTTCTAGATTGCAGGGCTAAAACGATAGAGACACTGCACTCAGACTACTTAATTGAGATAAAGTGGTCTGTGTGCCTCTAGTGTTCCTTTAAAAATGCAAAACAAAAAGTCCAAATCTGTGGGGACAGACCTTATGCCATACATATCTGCACAACTGAGGATTGTTTATACTCAAAGTACAGCTATAATAAGAAATTATTTCAACTGAAAGCAAAACTTATAGGAAGTTTTCAGAGCTGTAATTTCTGAGAAATAATGTTTCTCCTATAAAGATTATTTTTCCTTAGCATTTCAACTGAATATTTATAGGAGCACTATAGGCACCCAGACCACTTCAGCTCAATGAAGAGGTCTGGGTGCCAGGTCCCTCTAGTGTTAACCCTGCAGCTGTAAACATAGCGGTTTCAGAGAAACCGCTATGTTTACACTAGGGTTAACCCAGCCTCTAGTGGCTCTCACTGACAGCAGCTAGAGGCGTTTCCGCTGGACGTCCATAGGAAAGCATTGAGTAATGCATTCCTGTGGGCAGTTTGAATGCACACGTGGCTCTTGCCGCGCATGCGCATTTGGAGCTGACATCGGCAGGAGGAGGAGAGTTCCCGGTGCTGGAGAAAGGTAAGTATATTTTAATCCCTTCAGCCCAGCGGGAGTGGGACCCTGAGGGTGGGGGACCTAAAGACCCTCTAGTGCCAGGAAAACTAGTTTGTTTTCCTGGCACTATAGTAAGTCCTTTAATCCGTTAGGCACCAAGATGCCCTGCTGTGCAGTTTTTTACTGCACCAATCAAATTCTTCTACTAGAATACCACTACTTTAGACTGTACTGGTTTTGGTGCTTAGTGTCCCTTTAAATAAAAATACAAAATTAAGAAGAAAGTATTCATAGGTTTGTTTATAATTTATAAACTAGTGCAGCAAAATATCAAATGTACTTATTCCTTTTAAAAGGTCCATAATTTGGGAATTCAATTATTTCTGTAGAACAAATTATTGCAAGGACAGAATTACAGTTCTAAAGCTAAACAGTTGATCCGCTAAGACTAACTTTAATAGCCATCACAGAATCCAAAAAGCATAACGATAAACTGTTCTTTACTTATATCTTCTCATTTGTAAAAGACAAGTTGGGCTGTTTAATAGGATCACTTTCAGTCTTTTATTTAGCCTTCTCCTTGCCAGTTTCTGCCAAATGTAGTTGTAAGTTTTATTTTTTACTCTTCCAAATTAAACTTTAAACACAGAATTTCACAGGTCATATGTGTACTATTTCAAATTCACTAGTACAGAAATACCCAATACGAATTATTTTGTCAGGTTTTTGGGGAATTTATAGGATCAGATTAAAGACATGCCCCTTTGCTTTCCAGAGGCTTTAGTTGGTAAAGTGAAACTAAGCGCTGCAGTATATATTGGCGCTTTATAAAGGGCATTTATAAATAAATCTAGTAATAAACCATAGTAACCAGCATGACAGTTTAAATTTATTTATAGCAACTGTTTAGTAGATTGGCCCGCATGTTGATTAGTTACCATGAGTTCTAATCACATTGGCTTGACTGATTACTATGATTGCCTCCCTGAGTGGTCAGACAGCCTGGGAGCCAATTACTGACTTGCTGGTCTTCTCTCTGCTGAGACAGCGAGCAATAGCCAATTGACAGCTTATTTGGCTATAAGCGAACATGAAAAAGGTCCCCTGCTGCAGCTCCACTATGCCTTCTGAAGATGATCATTAGTGATGATTTCCTGCCTATCCAGTGTTCATTATAGAGAAGCATTGAAAGGTAGGGCGGATGTGGAACAATCTCCTGGAAAAACAGCTGGAACGGCTTTTCATGGAGAATTAGTGAAGCTAATGCTTCTCTATGAGAAGCCCTGACTTTAACATTTAACAAGCGCGGAAAATCACTCTTTGCTGTGTGACAGCTATGACTGCTCCAGGGTTAAAGGGACACTATAGTCACCTGAACAACTTTAGCTTAATTAAGCATTTTTGGTGTATAGAACATGCCCCTGCCCCTGAACGAATGCCAAGATATCTTTACCACTAGATGCTTCTTGCTATGCGTTTGGGGAATTCTAAGATATCATTCCTTTCTTCCTTTACATTAAAAGTTTTTTGAAGGAGATTTATATATTAGGGACTTCTAGTCATTTTATCTAGTTCATCATTTAGTAGATAGGTGCCCTCGAAGGCACGATTGCAAGTACCTAGGTTAAATACGTAGTTTAGTTTCATGTTTATTTACACATGGGTTGTTTGCTCACTACTGGGTCTTCTATTCATCTATTGTCTGATGCATTTAGTTATTTTTGTAACATTATTATCCAAGACTTTTAGTTCTTGGAATTTTTATTTATGCTACTCAATGTCCATGTTGCAGATACTATTGCAACTGTTTATTTGATAGGCGTTCTACCTTGACTCCTAAACAATTAGACATTAAAGGATCACTATAACTAATGGTACCCAATACATGGCATTTGAAATAGAAAACTGACTTTTTATGCATTTAAAAAAAAAAAAAAAAGTATGTAGACTGTGCAAGGTGTACTTTCAAATTTTGCAAGACTAGGATGCTAATGACTTCCATATGTTTCTTTCCACACTGAGCCTTTTTCCCCCCTCTTAAATGGACACTCTAAGCATCATATAGATTGTGTGCAGTCTCATGCAAATTAGGAGTTATATCACTTTTCTTATGCAGTCCTTGTCAAACTTCCTCTGGCTGTGACTGAATTGGTGCTTGGAATACCCCTTTAAAATCCACTTTAGCTCAATGAAGTTGTTTTGGTTTGTAGATCAGGCCCCTGCAGTCTCACTGCTCAATTCTCTGCCATTTAGGAGTTAAATCCCTCTTGTTTCTGTTTATGCAGCCCTAGCCACACCTTCTCTGGCTGTGACTCCCATGACAAACATGGAAGTGGAAATCATTTTCAATCTGATATTCTAGCACAGTGTGTTTTTCTTTTAGTTTAAAATTAGGTCTGCCAGCCATTTTCAAAATGCAGGAGGGTATGGGCAGTAGGACCAGGGTTTGCTTGAGTGTTTAGATGTCAATCCACTGAACAGAGCATGCTCTCTTTGCCGCCCACCTTTTGTCCCAGAAGGCGGGTAGAGAGTATTGGCAGGTAACCATCACTGTTAAGCACAATGCCTTGTTCAGCCCAAAAAGTGAGAAATAAATGTGAAAAAAAACCCTGGTATTGTTAACCCCTTAAGGACTGAGACAAATGTATATGTTTTGATAAAATAAAACGTAAACAAAACTTGGAATTTGACTATATAGAAACATAGAATGTGATGGTAGATAAGAACCATTCGGCCCATCTAGTCTACCCAATTTTCTAAATACTTTCATTAGTCCCTGGCCTTATCTTCTATTTAGGATACCCTTATGCCTATCGCACACATGCTTACACTCCTTTACTGTGTTAACCTCTACCACTTCAGCTGGAAGGCTATTCCATGCATCCACTACCCTCTCAGTAAAGTAATACTTCCTGATATTATTTTAAACCTTTGTCCCTCTAATTTAAGACTGTCCTCTTGTGGTTTTTCTTATTTTAAATCTAGTCACCTCCTTTACTGTGTTGATTCCCTTTATGTATTTAAATGTTTCTATCATATCCCCTCTGTCTCGTCTTTTCTCCAAGCTATACATGTTAAAGGACCACTATAGGCACACAGACCACTTCAGCTTAATGAAGTGGTCTGGGTGCCTGGTCCAGGTGGGGTTAACCCCCTTTTTTTAAATAAACATAGCAGTTTCAGAGAAACTGCTATGTTTACACTGAGGGTTAATCCAGCCTCTAGAGCCTCTAGTGGCTCTCATTGACAGCCGCTAGAGGCGCCTGCGTGCTTCTCACTGTGAAAATCACAGTGAGAAGATGCCAGCGTCCATAGGAAAGCATTGTAAATGCTTTTCTATGAACTGGCTGAATGCGCGCGCGGCTCCTGCCGCGCATGCGCATTCAGCTGATGACGTCGCTAGGAAGGAGGAGAGGAGGAGGAAAGCTCCCCGCCCGGCGCTGGAGAAAGGTAAGATTTTAAGCCCGTCATCTCTCCAGAACTGCTAATAGCTCTCCCTATACAACCAAGCATTCTGCTAGCATTTCCTGCTGCTCTATTACATTGTCTGGCTACCTTTTTAAGTCATCAGAAATAATCACCCCTAAATCTCTTTCCTCAGATGTTGAGGTTAGGACTCTATCAAATATTCTGTACTCTGCCCTTGGGTTTTTATGTCTAAGATGCATCATCTTGCACTTATCCACATTAAATGTTAGTTGCCACAACTCTGACCATTTTTCTAGTTTACCTAAATCATTTGCCATCTGGCTTATCCCTCCTGGAACATCAACCCTGTTACATATCTTAGTATTATCAGCAAAAAGACATACCTTACCATCAAGACCTTCTGCAATATCACTAATAAAAATAATAAAGAGAATGGGTCCAAGTACAGATCCCTGAGGTACCCCACTTGTGACACGTCCATGCTTCGAATATACTCCAATAATTACAACCTTCTGTTGCCTGTAACTCAGCCACTGCCTTACCCATTCAACAATATTGGAATCCAGACTTAAAGGACCACTCTAGGCACCCAGACCACTTCAGCTTAATGAAGTGGTCTGGGTGCCAGGTCTCTCTAGGATTAACCCCCCTTTTTTTTTTTTTTTTATATAAACCTAGCAGTTTCAGAGAAACTGCTATGTTTATAATAGGGTTAATCCAGCCTCCAAATCCTCTAGTGGCTGTCTCATTGACAGCCGCTAGAGGCGCTTGTGTGATTCTCACTGTGAAAATCACAGTGAGAACACGCAAGCGTCCATAGGAAAGCATTGTAAATGCTTTCCTATGAGACCGGCTGAATGCGCGCAGCTCTTGCCGCGTGTGCGCATTCAGCCGAAACTGGAGGAGAGCTCCCCGCCCGGCGCTGGAATAAAAGTAAGTTTAACCCTTTTCCTCTCCCCAGAGCCGGGCGGGAGTGGGACCCTGAGGGTGGAAAACGAGTATGTTTTTCTGGCACTATAGTGGTCCTTTAACCCCTTTAAGGACACATGACATGTGTGATATGTCATGATTCCCTTTTATTCCAGAAGTTTGGTCCTTAAGGGGTTAAAGATTGCAATTTATTGATAAGACTACTATGTTCAACAGTGTCAAAGGCCTTACTGAAATCTAGGTAGGGATTGTCTACTGCACATCACTGATCTATTATTTTAGTTACCAAAGATTAGTAGGGACCGATATTGTTTTTGTTTGTTTTTTTAGAGCCGATATTCTGTGAACTTTTAGGCTGATAGCCGATATTCTGTACATTTACCATTTTGGAAAATAAAAACTATTTCTAAAGGTAAAGGCACAAAATATACATGCCACGTGTAGTGGATGCAGTGTGTTTAGACAGGGGAGCTGTGTGTGTTTGTGTAGTGGATGCAGTGTGTGTGTGTGTAGTGTGTGCGTAAAGTGAATGCTGTATATACTAAATGCAAAGGGTGTGTGTATATAATGAATGCAGAGTGTATGTATTTGTGTAGTGTGTGTGTGTGTGTATAGTGAATGTAGTGTGTGTGTGTGTATATAATGCAGTGTTTGTGTAGTGTGCATTATATACACACTGTGCAAACACACTGCAGTATATAATGCAGTGTGTGTATGTATACACACACACTTCACAAACACACTGCATTATATATACACACACTATACAAACACACTGCATTATATACACAGTGTGTTTGTGTAGTGTGTGAGGGGGCATTTTATTATTAAATTTTTTTTATATTTAATTTATTTTTGTTGTCCCCCCCTCCCTGCTTTCCTGCTTGTTGCCTGGCCAGGGAGGGGGTATATAGCATTCGCTGGTGGTCCAGTGGTATTGGCCGAGCTGTGGGGGGCGGGCAGCAAGCGTTTACTCACCTCCCAGGAGCTCCTCCAGCTCCCCAGTGTAAGTCTCACGGCCAGCGTGCCACGTGGGTCTTGCGAGAGTTACACTGGGCAGCTGGAGGAGCTGCTGGCAGGTGAATAAGCGCTTGCTGCCCGTCCCCCCAGGACCGCCGGGTTTGTAATGAGCCTGGCGGTCCTAAGAGGTATTATCGGCAATATCGGTATCTGAATTGGCCGATACGATATTGCCGAAAATACAGAATATCGGCCGATTATATCGATAAAACCGATAATCGGTCGATCCCTAAAGATTAGTTTGGCATGATTTCCCTGAAGTAAACCCATGTTTTCTCTGATCTTGAAATCCATGTGATGTTAGAAGTTCAACAATCCTATCCTTTAACATGGTTTCCATTACTTTCCCCACTACTGAAGTAAGGCTTACTGGCCTATAGTTGCCCGACTCCTGCCTTTCTTGTGAATAGGCACAACATTTGCTAACTTTCAATCTTCTGGGACTACTCCTGTTAACAATGATTGGTTAAATAAATCTGTTAAAGGGAAACTCCAGTGCCAGGAAAACAATCCGTTTTTTTGGCACTGCAGGTCCCCTTTCCCTCCCAATCTCCGGTTGCTGTAGGGGTGAAAACCCCTTCAGTCACTTACCAGAGGCAGCGACATGTCCCACGTCGCTGCTTCTTCTGCCGCTCCTTCTCTGCATTATGTTGGCCGGTGGGCGAGACTGATCTTGCCCACCGACTGGGGAGACCTAATGCGTGGCAATGCGCATTAGAGCTCCCCATAGGAAAGCATTGAAATGGGGAATTGAGCGTCGCTGGAGGTCCTCACACAGAAAATCTGTGCTAAAGACACGGAAGTGCCCTCTAGTGGCTGTCTAGTAGAGGTGGCGTTAACCCTGCAAGCTAATTATTGCAGTTGATTGTGGGAGTTGGCACCCAGACCACTCCAATGGGCAGAAGTGGTCTGGGTGCCTGGAGTATCCCTTTTAATGGTTTTGCTAGTACACCACTGAGCTCTTCTTATAACTTTGGGTGTATTCCATCAGGTTCCATTGACTTATTTGTCTTTACTTTTGACACTTGAAATAGAATCTCTTTCTCTGTAAACTCAAATGTAACAAATTACTCATTTGTCCTTTTTCCTAACTGAGGCCCCTTTCCTTAATTTTCATCTGTAAATACTGAACAAAAATGTTCATTGAGGCAGTCAGCTAGACCTTTATCCTCTTCTACATACCTTCCTTATTTTGTTTTTAATCTAACCCTTGTTTTACTTGTCCTTTTCTCATTTATGTATCTAAAAAAGTTTGGTCCCCCCCCTTTTTTTTTTACTGACTGTGCTATTTTCTCTTTTGTGTGAGATTTGGAAGCTTTTATAAGTTGCTAAGCCTCTTTCTGCCTAATCTTCTAGATTATTTTGTCTTCCTCACTGTTTTTTTTTTTAAATTTTAAAAAAAAAAAAAAAATTTTTTTACTAAATGGAAACTTTTTGTTTTTTACTTTTTTGGCCACATCTGCGGAGTACCACAGTGGTTGTCTGTTCAACCGTAATTCACCTCTTTCATATTAAGTGCACTCACACTTATTATATATATAATTTTAATTCATAGTGTACGGAAGTCCAGTGTCAGGCGACCAAAAGTCACCTAGTGACCTGGGAGTCCCTCTAGTGTCTCTCTAAACGGCAATAATTACCTTTTGCAGGATTAAGGGATCTGTGACTATGCACCCCGACCACTTTAATGAGCTGAAGTGATGTGGGTGTCTATAGTGTCCCTTTTTAAATTAGACTTGCATGTTTTATTTACTATATATGTACTTGTCAGCAATTCAAAGTGAATGTTTACATTTTAGACCAAAGAAACTAAAAACATAGGCCACAAATTTGGAAAATTCTGCTGACATTTTGAAATTCATTTTCAATTACCAAAAATGTACGCTTCGGTGTATAACACTTAAGTTTGAAACCGCATCTCTAAGTACTGATTCAATGGTTTTCTCAGAGTAAAACAGCAAAAACATACATGTCACACTTGTGTGGTTGCCTGGAGTGTCCCTTTATTAAAAATAAGATTAATTGTTTCAGTTATGACTAGTTTTGATTGCCACTGTTTTTTCTTTCAGAAAAACCTGCTATAGCACCTCCTGTGTTTGTGTTTCAAAAGGATAAGGGTCCTAAGGTAAGTGAAGAACTCTTGTTTTATAAAGGTATGTAAATGGTAGATGCCACAGATTGAAGTTTTAATTGGCTTAACCCAGATGGAACTATTTTGAGTTAATCTGATCCTCAAGCCATAATGTGATGTAAGCTCTAGCACAGCTTGCAGTTTGACATGCTTTTTAAATCTTTCATACCCACTTTTCTAAACTTCTTTCAATATGAGTGGTGGTTCCTGCCTCCATTGCTTGTCATCTCATTTATTGATATTGATAATGTTTGTTTACCTTACATAGCTGTATAGTAACTGGTTTTCACAAAAATTGACAACACATGCTGCTAAAATACTTGATCCTGAACTATTGCCCCAATAATGTTAACCCTGTTAATGATATTGGGACATTCCATGCTTTCCGACAGAGAGGGCTTAAATCAATGAATACCTGGGGATTCCCTCTCTGCTAGGGTTATGTTTAGTATCCCCAGACTTTTTGATGAGCTGCAAGCAGCTCTTTAAATGGTCATTTAAATGCATTTTAAATAGATTGCAGTGTGAGCATTGTTATATCCCTGCTCACACCACTAACCCTAGGTATCTGTAGTTTTCTAGGGTTCCTCTAAGTCAGCTGGGACCATTTTTAGTGGCCCCAGGCTGACCAATGACCTCTTTGCAGTGCTGGCAGCCACATTCATTCATTCATAAAATCGATTGCTCAGTGAGTTTTCAGTGCTGCAGTTTTCTGAATGGGTACCCCCTCTCCCCAGTGTCTGAATAGCCCAAACAGACTCTTACAGCCTTTCCCCAGCTGTTTGTGACCTGTGCTGGACTTTGCCGGATGCCCAGAACTAATCACAGTAATCGACTGGAAAACGGGACTCTGTTTATAATTACACTGAGTGTAATTATGAAAAATGCCTGCAGATGGTGGTCACAAACAATTATTTACTGTGTCCTTAGGGTTGGGGCTAGTGGTGTGTTGGGTTATGAAAGAGAGAGATTTAAGGGTGAGAATAGGATAGGATTAAGAGTTAGTGATGGGTAAGATTTAACGCTGGGTTTGGGTTAATGCTGTTTTAGTGTTGGTGTAGTGTTATGGGTAAGCGTATGGTTAGTTCGCTTACACACAGGAGTGTGGAAATGTTAAAAATAATTTTACTTGTCCACAGGATTAAAGTGGTAACCCTATCCACTTGGCCCTCGTGACAAGCTACTTTTCCTGACCAGCAAAATAATTTTAATTAGAGATACTGTGGTTCCTACCTAGGGTCTCTTCCTCTGTCCTTCCTTAGTGTTTAACTTTTTTTCCTATTTATTGCGTCTTCCTTCTGTTTACTCTCCCCATTCATCCTATGCTTGACTATCCTGTACTTTTGCATCTCCTGTGTCTTAAACTTCCACTCCTTTTATATATACATAATTTTTAAATTTTTTCGACTGTCACCTTTATTAATCTGTGGTACCTATCTCCTTTAGTGCTGGGCAGGTTATTTTGAATCTTTCACATTCCGTGTCATGCAGATCTTTACTTAAATGTCTGTGACTTTGTTTTCCAGAGATCTGCTGATGGTTCCAGTCCAGAGCAAGGTGAAGGTAATGCATATATTTTAATTCACAATACAATAGGATAAAATTGTGTATATATTCCAAATCCATGTGTTTTGGTGCATAGATCAGTGGTTCAGAAAACCGTCCTCATTGCCCACCATTAATTCAGGATTTATGTATTTCACTGTTTTCCAATTCCAGTAGAGATACTGACAAAACCTGGACTGTTGGTGGGTCTTGATGACTGGTTTGGGAAACACTGGTATATATCATGTCCCTGCAGTCTCACTGCTCAACTTTCTGCCATTCAGCACTAGCCACACCTCCTCTGGCTGAATCGCACACAGCCTCCCTACACACTTCCTGTAAAGAGATCTAATTTTTAAACTTGTTATTGCACCGTTTCAATTTAGAATTTCTTATCTACTGCCCAGTTAATAGTTAAAATAATTCGTTAATAGGACTTGCAAAGAGATATGTGTGTGGTTGAAGTTTATATAACATTACCGTATACACGAACTTCTAAAATAAACACACAGTGCTGCAAGATCTGATTAAACATTTTAAAAACAAATTAATGTTGGCTGTGTGGCTCATAGCCAGAGGAGGTGTGGCTAGGACTTTATAAAGAGAAACAAAAGTCACTTAACTAATGGCAGAGAATTGAGCAGTGAAACTTCAAGGGCATGACCTATAGTCTAAAATGTCCTCATTAAACTGTTTTGATGCTTGGAGTATTACTTTAAATGTGAGGTTTTATAGGATATGTCTGAGGTATATGATCAGAAGGAAGGAGCAAAGATAAACTTTTTTTTTTTAAGGGAAACCAACACTTCTCTGGAAATTGCACCATTGAATGAAACACTGAAACCAACCTATAACTTTTCTTGGATTCTATCCTACCCTCCACTTTTTATTTTTCCCTGCTCCTAAAATTTTCTGTTTTCTTTTTAAACTGTATATTAAAGGAAGACTAGGGCTTTAAAACTACTTAATGTAAATGAATTGTTAATGGTGCTCGGAGTCTTTACCGCGCCTTATTTCACTTCAAGTGTTCATACAGTTTTTAAATGTGGTAATTAGAGTTCCCAAAGTATTACTGGCTATGGGTATAAAAAACAACTATGATATTCTTGTATGTTGAAACAAATGTGTAGATGCCTAGACAGTCCCTTTAACACAGTGGTTAGTCCATGATGAAAATCAGTCTGGAGGTAAAGAATGTGACTGGAGGCACTATAACCATTGGAATTTTTTTTTCTTTTTAAAATAATAATGCCTGGACACTTATGATGTTTGTCTATTCAGTGTTAAATCATTTTTAAGCAGTTTAGCACTAAATTAAGGTCTTTGACACCCACTGCTTGGTCCCTACTGGAGGTATGGTTAAGACAAAGATTACACACCTCCTTGTAGCCATACCAGTTCATACCAGCAATGAGCTCTGTGATAGGCTGAAAGTGATCAGCTGACACTCTCGGCAAATCGCAACCTTCCTTTGCAGCTAAGGCTTCGCCATCAGCCCAAGCACCATAGAGAGAAAGGGCTACTGGGATTCTTGTTTAGCTTTAAAACATTAAAAGGACACTATAGGCACCAGAACCACTACAGCTTAAGGCTTCAGTTCTGGGGCATATAGCTTGTCTCCGCAGACTGAACATTTTCACCTGTAGTGGTTGTCTGACATAGGAACTTACTGGACAAGTTCTTGCAATCTTTGCAGGACCTATGACCTAACGCTCTGCGTTGATTAAGTGCAATTCTATGAGTCCTATCTAAAATATAGTATTTGCATATTTTCTAAAACCAAACTTAAATTAGTTTCTCTTTAAGACAAATCTTGTAAAAGGCAATTATATTGGCCTGCTTTTTCCACAGTATTTGCTTAGTGGCCAAAATAATACAATTTGGGTGGGGCTGGGGGTTGGCACACATGTAACCTGTGCAGTCCCTTGCTAGCTGGACTCCAATATAAGCATTACCAAAAGCTGGATTTTGGATGGAAATTAACAGAATTTACTCACACATTCTCACTCGGCAAGGGCTCATTGACCATGGGACGCAAATCTGAACTGCTTCGGCCCGCCATTCTTAGATATTGGCGATTTTTGTATCAGAAGCAACGTGCGTAGTATGTCAGAGATTACACAAACTCCTCTGAGCATATGTTGCATTCCATGGAGGTCTTGAGTTTCCAGAATCCCTCTGGGCTTCCCCAAATTGGTATTGGAGACTCCTCCTCGCTGGTAATGGGCATTCTTAAGACCATATTGATGGACCTCTGACCATATATCTGAGGACATAACAATTTTAATATTGTCCTCCAATTTGGATATGTTTGTCTTTCCTATGTTGAAGAGGCCATAACCTTTCATAGTAATTATCCTGCCGAGCTCTACAAAACCGTTCATGATTTGTAAAAAGATCATACGATGGATGGAATACCACCTCGAAAGCACTGCAAACAACTGAAAACCAGTGGCCTATCTGATAATATACCCGTTTTGAGCTGCCTGATTTATTATGCAGACTTTTTATGGAATTATTGCCCCCAATTCAAGCAAGCGTGACCTATTTATTGGATATTTCGTCTGCTAAACCATGGCAGGCCTCAACCACTACTTCCAGCAAACACCTTGTAAAATTCCAGAATGGTCAAGACAAGGAAGCTGTTCTAAATGCTATTAAAAGCAAAACTTTGTATTAGTTGAGGGGTTGGATCTCCCATTCTTAGCCAACCTATTTAGGTCCACTTTGCTCTGGAGGAGATCACTTTATCTCTTCATGTTACCACTATCTTCCATTGGGCTGTGATATCTTTGGGCATTAATCATATTTTAATTACAAACCCAAACAGTTAGCTCAGACTATCAGTTATATTGAAAATGGGGAAACTGGGCCTTAGCTCAGGTGTGTGTGTTTTTTTTTTTTCTGCCAACAATACAAGGCCTATGGCTTCTACCACTTGCATATGGGAATGAACACTATCTGCTTTGTTTGTACCAGCAGAGTGACGCTCACTGGAGTTAGCCGTTACTTGAGCTTGCAACTTGGCAGGGACTTTCAGCCCAACTTACTTTCTGCTGCTTTTAATTTTCAATATCTTCTCTCTCTTTCCCATGGCCTCTTGTGTTTTCTTCTTTTTCCCCCTTCTGTTTGTCTCTCTTCATATTATTTTCATTTAGCACATATATAATTTGCAATGTGAGCATAATTATTCAAGCATTTTATCACATTAATTTTGTAATCTGTATACTCACAATGCTCCTACAATAGATTAATTGAATAGATGTTGGCTTCTTTAGCACTATTTAATTTGTCTCTTACATTTGGAATTGGTGTGGGATCAACTGATTTTGGGGGTAATGTAGTGGTGGGCTTAAGACAATATGGCCATATGATATAGTCAAACTGAAGATTTCCCCCATATTTGTTTACTTGGGTGATTTTAAGTAGCCTGATAAGATTTATAAGTGTATTTGTATGTGTGTGCTGGAACTTAATTTGTATTTCTTCATATTATAAACCTCAAGTAGCCCAGATTCAGCAAATGGTCTGATAGCACCTACGTACTCCTTATCTTAGTTGCTAATTTAGTCAATGAACTATGGTCAATGACCATAGTTTCTTGTACCTTTTTTGGGTATCTTGTAATTTCATGTTTGAGACCTATAGTTTAGGTTTCCTCCCCTTCCCATGAAAAACCCACATCTCTTCTGCTTCAGAGTGATATGTATACTGTACTGCTCTTTCAGCATTGGTCAATTCTGAATGTAATGTCGTGCATATTTCAGATTGTTGCAAAAAAAAAACAATAGTTTAAAATCTGAATTTAATAAAGGCTTTAACTTCAACCTCCTGCCTGCAAATTCCATTGAAATTGTGGAGATTTTAGCTGTATTTGCTGGCTTAAAGTTCTAATTGGTAAATTTTGAACAATGTCTACATATTGTAGTACAAGTGACTACTATGGCAGTTGTTCTCAACAAGTGTGCTACAAACTACATGAAAGGGAAACTATAGTCATCCAAACTGTTTTAAAACATTGCAGTTCTTTAGAAAAAGCAATGTTTACATTGTAGGGTTAAATCCACCTCTAGTGGCTGTTAGTGTGACTGCCACAAGAGGTGCTTCTGTGACACTGACAGAGTAAAACTTGGTCACATGACGCAGAACCCCCCCATTGCAAAGCATTGATTCAATGCTTTCTTATGAGGATGTTTGAATGCTTTATGGGGAGCATTGGATTGGACGTCTGTGACTCCTCCATGACTTCACAGGAGGCAAACAGAGTGCAGAGGGAGACTCGGTGCTGCAAAAAGGTAAGTAAAACAATTTTGTTGGGAATACAGATTTGTGTGCCTTTGGCAAATTGACTCATTTGCTGTAATACTGTAATGCAGTGCTTAAAATCCAGAAATTTTAGCTAGAAGAATGTGTATATCTCTTTAGTAGGGCAAGTGTATTGAGAACATGTGATGTTTACAACCTGCTGCTGATGGTAAACAGGAAAAAAAAAAAGTTGTTGTGCCTTAATAATGTTCTCTTATTGAAGTGTGCCTTGATTCCAGAACGATTGGCAACCATTGCCTTGTGGTATTGAATTCTTTTTCATAATCTGGACTGTGGGCATTCAGACGTTGGTGAAATAAGTGTTACAAACTAAAACTCAGGCATACCAACACACTGCTGATTACATATCCAGTTTGCCTCTGAACCTGTCATCATTTTTTTTTTTTTTTCTCTTCTCTTCTTTTACAGATTCTGACAGAGAAGATGGAAGCTACTGCCCCCCAGTGAAACGAGAACGTACCTCATCCTTTTCACAGTTCCCGCCTTCTCAGTCTGGTAAACTTAAAATCTTTCTTAAAATAAGTGAGATTGAAACCAGGTTTTGTTACGTACCCTTTTTCACTTCTTTTCTGCATGTGACAATAATGATAGGTTGATTGCAACAGCAGATGGTGCCGCTGAAGGGATGAGAACAAGTCCTAGGCTTCCTGATTGTAGCAGAGGGACAGCGCACTTGGGCGCTTTTTTCCATATCTGTGGATGTCACTCTGAGTACTAACAATACTAATGTAGCTAGTCTATGAAGAGTTCATGTCTAGTCAGAACATGTTCCCTTTAGAGCAGGGGTCCTCAAACTTTTTAAACAGGGGGCCAGTTCAAGGTCCCTCAGACACTGTTGGGGGCCGGACTATAAAAAATATGAACGAATTCCTATATGTGCGCGCGCGCGCACATAAGCATACACACACGCGGGCGGGCAGACGCACAGACACACATACATATATACACAGGCAGATACACATACATATACACACAGGCAGACATGCAGATACACATACATAGGCAGGCTGGCAGAGCTAATTTTGCTTACCTTTTTTGCAGGTGAGTAGCTGTGGCTGATGAGTTGGCGTGGCTCCAGCGGCCAGTCTCTCCTCTCTTCCCTCCCGTGCGGAGGGAGCTGGGAGGAAGTGTCGGCCTCTTCCTCCCAGCAGTACTTTGCGGCTGAAATTCTTTAAAGGGGCCCGGTCGTGCTACTGCACGGCCGCGGCGCTGACCAGGGCCCATCGGGTGGCCCTGAGGTCTTGGGCTGGGTTCAGGATCCTGGCGGGCCGGATTGAACACTCCACTAGTTCATAAAGACCTTTCTCTCATGTGTCGGACATTCATTTTATTAAGTGAGCCCTGCAACTATCATTTGATTTTACTTGCAACACTGTCCCTCATTTAAAAAAAAAAAAAAAAAAAAACTGTGTAAACACTGCAATTTTCCAACTGGTGGTTGTGATGGAGAGGTTATTAAGGTAATCAAAAAAACTGTCTTCTTGACGGCAGCAGTGTGGTAATCTTTAGTTGCGGCATCCCGTAGACCAATACTTGCGTTGCAATTTGACACTGTACAGTGCAAAAGAAAACTTCAATGATTTGCATTAAAATAACGTCTCCCTGTTTTAATTTATGGTTTCCCTATTGCTTTCAGTAACGAAGAACAATGTATTTATGCCATCCAGTTTTTGCCAGCCTTCTACCGGTAATTCTGATTCAGAGCCAGGTGAGATGCATCCCAAGTAACTATATAAAAAAATAAAATAAATTGGAGCATAAGAATTGAGGTAATATGTGGTAGCCAGCATGTCGTTCATCTATTTTCAAACGTTTGTGGTCCCGTGATGTAATTTTGGGCAGTTAGATAATGTCATTATTGCTCATGATTTAGCAGGCCTAAACACATTCATTTTTTAAACAAACTGTTTTTATTTCTTGTTTGAATGATCTGAGGGTTGAGGAATTCCGATCATTCTGGACATGACACTGTGTGTTGGGCAGCCAGTATTGAATCTTTTAGCCCTGCTGCATGCAAGCAGTTCCAGCTGGTCCTTGGAAGGATATGATCCAAGCAGGGAGCATGTGGTCTGCAACTCCTGTGGAAGTAAGCCACTGTAATCGCTCTATTGGTAATGAGCCAGAGTGTTGCAGCCGGGTTCCCAGCATACAGTCGACCTCACTGAGGTCCTGTACTGCCAGGAAGAGAATACTATTGTCTGCTCTCATTGGAGGAGCATACCAAACATTCCCCCACTAGATACTTTAACCCAGCAGTTTGCGCCGCGTCGGGCACACAGGGGCGCCGCAAAAGGTTTTCCCAGTGCTATGATGATAGCACTGGGAACTGTGCCTCCCTCTCCCCTACCGGCTTTGCAGGACTGGAGGGGAGATCAGAGATCTCCCTCTCCGGCCCACTAGCAATGTAATGCTGGCCAGCTGGCAGTGGAGGGAGGCTGAGAGGACCCGGGGGAGCTCTAACCTGCAGCTCTGCTGGCATCTCCTCTGGCAAGCTTGGAGCGTTGCCGTGGTTACCACGGCAACGCTCCGAAACTCGCGAGAGTGAACTCTAGCCTGAGCTGCAGACTAGAGTTCACTCTCACCAGGGCTTCACCACTGGACCACCAGGGATTCGTACTGTCCCCCCTCCTAAGCAAAGGTATGCAGGGAGGGGGGATATGAAGATGTATACTTGTTTGTTTTTTTTTGTTTGTTTTTTTTTGTATAAAATATATACAAATGTATATTTATTAATTTGCCCCTCCACACACTGCACCCCTCACACACACATTGCCACCTAATACACACTCTGCCCCACCTACTATGCACAACTCTTACACACACTACATCTGTTGCAAAACACACTGCACCTTTCGCTCGCGCGCGCACACACTGTTACCCCTTTCCCATACTACAGCCCCTATCCCAGCAGATCCTAGGTAAATTGTCAAACTGTTTTAAAACAGTTTGACTACTTACCATGGGAGGGCACCACGGCACTCCTGGCACCATAACCACTATAGAGTGCTGTAGTGATTATTGTGCCTTGATTTTTTTTTTTTTTCCTTAAATAATCTCCCAGTGCCCCTCCCAAGATTAGGTTCAGGATCCGCCCCTGACCAGGAAACCTTTCTGCTGAACAAGGGCCCACTATATGCTGCAGCGCTGTACATATATACTACCTAGAAATCTGTTTTGATTTGGGGCGCCTTGGAAAAATATTGAAATATAAAGGGCGCCTTGAACCTTAAAAGTTTGAGAACCACTGTTTTAACCCCCAATTACACCACAGAGCCTCTGTGAAACACTTTCATTGTAAAGAGGTAGTTGACAAAATAAACTCTGCTGAGCACATGAATTGGCATCTTCACATTGAAAAATGGTCTCCTCTACACCTAGTAAGGCAGTGGCACTGCATAAAAAAACTTGCTAAAGTTGCATGAACCCTAATAGATAAGATTTTTCTGTTAAAACAAATTGGGTCCACATGCTGTTCAAGGAGGTCCCTGAGGCTTAAATTCCAATTATTAAAAATGTAATTATAAATCTTGTATGTGAATAAATCGCATTTTGGAGAAATGTCTTTGGTTTACCTGACCTTTGTCCTGTAATTTAGTAATTGGCTTCCTTTGTTTCAGAGGAAAAATGTGGTGGATTCAGACTAAAACCTCCAACTCTAATTCATGGCCAGGCCCCCAGTGCAGGTATGTACATATTAAACTTGGAGTCTTAAACGCTGTTCATGGTACCTGTCAGTTTCAAATTTATATTGCACCTATAAATATTTAGTAGGTACCGACAAAAGAGTTGATGTCTTCATGGTGTTCGTCGACGAATCTGTGTAACTTGAGCTTTGTTCAAACCATTTTATTGTTTACATAATGCCCCTGAAAACTCTGCTCAATTCTCTGCTGTTTAGGAGTTAAGTAACTTTTTTTTGTTTTTGTTTAAATCCCTTTTGTTTCTGTTTATGCTGTCATAGCCGGTGGGGCTAGGGCTGCATAAACATAAACAAAAGGGATTTAACTCCTAAATGGCAGAGAATTGAGCTGTGAGACTGCTGGGGCATGATGTATACACCAAATATTAAGCTTTATTGGTACTTGGTGTCCCTAATACCATGAAGACCTATAGCCTTTTTTTTTCCCTGGCTGAACACAGTTTTGTTTTTTTTTAATTATGTTTTTTTGTTTTTTTTAAATTGTATTTATTTTTTAAAATCTGTTCTTATAGAACAGTATGTTTACGTTAAAGTTCCATTATATGGCCAAACGATAAGCACTTTTAAACACACTGGTCTCCTGCGAACTCTAGCAAGCTATTAACAGAGCAGGTGATAAAAATTCTAAATTGAACATATCTTTATGAAATACTCATTTGTCAGTGGGGGTGACGGTGCTACTTTAATGTATATATGTATTTTATATATGTATAAAAAAATTATTTTTTTTTTTAAATATGTATGTGTTTGTTTTCAGACCGTATACAATGTTTCATTCATTTACATTTCAGGACTCCCAAGTCAGAAACCGAAAGAGCTGCAACGTAGTGTGCTGCGTCCAGCAGTATTACAACCTCCACAGCCCAAGAATTTTTCAACATCTTGTAAGCACTTACTTTCTAAGACGTGTGTGTCTGTGTATATATCTGCCACAAGAATGTTAATGTATCGTGCTTATTTTACAATTGATGACGCAAGTTGATATATCTGAACCTTGCAGGAAAATGTCTTCTATGGAATCATTTTGTGTGTTAGAGCAAAAAAATGTATATTAATTGGTAGGGTTTGTTGCACTGGCATGTTCGTATGAGGATGGTAACTGTTTAATTTAAAGCTGTTCTTTCACTGTCTCGGTTTTGATTTGATATTGCCGCTTGGGGTATGTTGGGGGGTGCCATCCTCTTCCTGGCACTCTTCAGCTCATGGTGCTTCAACTGCCAGAAGTCCATGTCAGTGCTCTACTCTGGCGCATTGAGAAGGCTGCAGGGAATCCTATCGAAAGAGCTTATTTTCCTCACTTGTGATCGTTGTGAGGAAATGACCAGGCTTAATGGCGTTTGCTCCTCATAGAGCTTACAATCTAGAATGGAAAATACTTGGACAAAGTAATTCCTACTTTGTTCAGTATATCTTTTGAATGGGTTGGAATTTAAAAGTAATTCCAACACAATCAATCTTAGTATTTCATAAAGATGCCATCTTTATGAATTAATTGTTTGGAGACCTGACAGTGCTGCTTTTAAATATGTGAATGTCTTCCCAACATTACTCTTTGTTTTAAGTATGCACCGGTTTTCCACTCCAGGTTTCAGCAGTGGAACTAATGGCATCAGTGTGTCCTCCGAAGTATGTGGCTCCTCCTTGGGTGATGCAGTTTGCAGTCAAGCTTCATGTGATATTGTAGCGGATGCTGAGAAAAAAGTAAGCAAAATTAATAATTACTCTTTGTGTACTATAGGTTTCTTTGCAAATTAAATACAAAAAAATTTGTTCTTGTAGTATTTTTTGCCTGCTAAGCTACAACTGAATGCCCTTAATTGATTTTTATTTTTGCCTGTGGCAAAGGGACCAGGCGCATGCTTGCCAGATGGTGCCATAACCACTAAAAGCTATTGTAATTATATTTTTCAAAGGCTGCAAGCAACATCCCACAGTTCCAAACTGCTGTCCAATATTTGGGAAGGTAATGATCTTATTTATTTTTAAAGTTTAGTTTTCTTTAAACTAGTAGTCTTTGAGACAACCCAATTCTAGACCTGCGAAACAGGCAATGGACACACTGTTCTGTGGTTCACAGTTCTGTCTGTGGTACCAGAAAAATAGTAAGAGAATGGTTAAGAAGTTAGGGGAGGAACAAGATTTTGATGGACAAAAAGTCTGCCCAGTGACGTGAACTGTCTCCTGTCCAATAAAGAGTTGGAAATAAATTATTGATGGGGGAGGAAAAAAATATGATTGGTTAGGAAAAGCCACTAAATGTTGTTTTTATTCACAGAACAAATGAGAAGTCGTCAATAGAGGGGTGGTGGGGAAAAGGGGAAGAAGCAGTAAAACAACTCTATACATTTCCGAGCAGGACTCTTTCAGACACTTAAAAGGGATCCTATAGTGCCAGGAAAACAAAGCCGTACTCCTGGCACTATAGGGTTAATGGGTCCCTCCCCTCCCTCTCGGGGTCCCCCCCCTCCAGTGGGTCTAAAGGGGTTAAAAACCTTTCAGCCACTTACCTGAATCCAGCACTGGGTCAGGCTCCGCCCACGCTCCTCCCCCTGCCGTCAGCCGGCTGGGGAGACCTAATGCACATGCGCGCCAGTGGCCGCACACGCGCATCAGTCCTCCCCATAGAAAAGCATTATTCAATGCTTGCCTATGGGGGAAATCTGACGCTGGAGGTCAGATAACGGACCAAAAGTCTGTTTGGATTCCGGAAGCCCTTTAGTGGCTTTCTGGTAGACAACCACAGAGGGCAGACTTAATGCTGCAATGTAAATATAATGCTTTACATTGCAGCACTAAATGGAAAAGGGTCACAGCACCCAGACTACTTAAATTAGCTGAAGTGGTCTGGGTGCCTACAGTGTCCCTTTAAAGGTACACTATAGGGTCCGGAACACAAACCTTTTATTGCTGACCCTATATTAAAAAACTATTATTTAGATGGCTTATCCCCATTAGACTGGGTTAAAACCCACCTTCTTTCCAGCGCTGCGCTTGTGCACTGGCCCCGCCCCCGATTTACCTCTTTGGTTGACCTCAGAATTGATGATCTCCTTTAATACAATGCTTTCCCACAAAGGTGGTTGTAATTTTTCTAAAATAACTTATTTTTTTTTTTTTTTTAATTTTTTTTTTTTAAATAGTACTGCTACCTTTGCAGACTGAATTTACGTTTTTTCTTAAGTTTCTAAAATAATTCTAACATCTGTTTATATTTTAAAATGTAATTTAATGGTTGGTTTGGCCGGGTCTTGCCGTGTGGTGCCACCTCTGCAGATGCAGTTTTTTTTTTTTGAAGTTGATAGGACACTGGAAATACTTTTTTACAATTTTTTTTTATTTTGGTGTTTAATATGTGAGGGAGGTCAACTGCTCACTTTTTTTTACGTTTTTGCTTTTCTTATTGAAATTATTCTCCCCGCCCCCCCTCCATTTTCATTTTTCAAGATTGCAAAAGGAAATACAATCTTTGTAAAAATATATATATATATATATATAATTTGTTTTCTTTTATTTTATATACAGATTTAAGAATAGTGACCATTCACAATTGGCTTTGCAAAGATGCCTGATATTCTTTAGCCATTAGGTTAAAGAATAGTTTACCAGTTTTTGCATAGAAGTACAGCAGTATGTGCATTTTCACACCATTTTGGTCAATCTGGATATGTCTTTCCTGTAACAGTCAAATTGGCAAAATATGTACACCAGATGGACAAAACTTTTTTTTTTTGAAGTGACCTTTTTCTTTCTTTTTAATATTTTGCCTTTTTCACAAGTCTAGTTTTGGTCTAAGCGCTCCTGAACTTTGACAGGGCTTTTGCCCTTTTAGCACAATGGCCATAATGATGGCATGCTGTAGTTCTTGTTACAGAGGTGCCTATTTAGTATCCTTGTTTGTCACTGGTGGTGTAAATGAGAAAATACAATGCAGAAAAATATTAAGCAAATACAGGTAGAACCATGACTTCAGTAGACTGGTCTCTAACATATTGGCCAAAATACTTTTCTGTAGGAAAAAGTATTCACTTGCAGTAAATAGTATGGAAAGAGGATTTTGTTTTTTATTCAATAGGGGAAAAATAATTAATTTTTACCTCTAAGGCTGTATGTAAGCATAATGTATGCTATAGAGTGTAATTTTCACCCATAACACACACACGCAATGATTTGTCACCCTTTACGATGTAGGTCTATGTTCTATACCTGTATAATATTTATTTTTTTGTTTTTGCTAGGGTACCAACAATCAAACAGAATCCTGCAGTGTTAAAGATGGCAGTGAGGGCTCTGAGAAGGGCGACCAGAATTCACAGCAGTCTTTTGTGTTTGGTCAGAACCTGCGGGACAGGGTGAAAGTAAGTATCCCAATTGATTTGCCCTGGGAAAAAAAAAACTTAGGCCTAAACTTGAATGACCATCAAGAATGCCTACATTTTCTCTTTTCTTACTTTTTGAAGTTGCATGCTAACTTATTCTTACTCAAACTTTTCACCCATTTCCTCAACATTAAGAATAGTGTATCTGTTTAAACCTGAAATTGGGCCCCCAATGCCAAACCACTTTTCCTCATCTGTTTCTTCCGTTTGCAACAGTCCACTTCAGGAAGGTTTGTCGGCTAATGCTGTATCACAGGCAGCCCATTGTAAATAATAGTGTTCCGATATTTGTAAATTCACTTTCTTTTTGCAGTTGGGAGGGGAGGGCAAAAGTTCAGTTGATGGGGAGAACACAGGACCACAAAATGCAGATGCTCCAGCACAGACAAACTACTTCCTCCAGTACATCAGTTCAAGGTGATGTAATCTTCTAATTCTTCTTATTGTGTGCAAAGTTTAATGAACTTTAAATAACTTTTATCCCCACTTTTTGTATTGGTGAACCAATCATTATTCATTTGAGCTAACAAATAGTGGTTGCTGCAAAACTAGTTTAGCATTTCAAATGTGCTCTAATCACAAGGGACTCTCCAGGTTGGAGATAACCACTCAACCTAACTTCTCTCCTGCAGGGATTTATATGTAGCTTCTCTGCCTGCTTTGAATAAGTGGCCTGTTCAACATGTGCTAGAACCAGCCAAAAAGAATGTGAAGTTTTCATTTTGTTTACATACAATATAAAATTAAATAACTAATGTAATTTTTTTCCCCATTTAATAAAAAAAAAATCTCACTTCTTAGGGATCAGTATAACTTACCTCCTCCTGCGATTGCTCTTTGTGAACTTGCAGCAGCCGATAAGATGGACTGAGTAGGAGTTAGTTGGATAACAGTAGAATCTGACAGGCCAGATGTCGGCCATATTAAAAAGGAAAAAACAAACAAAGCTCCTTCATTAAATGGAATCAACTTTTCAAATTAAGAGTTGAAAATTTGACGACCGTTGTTTTTAAGGTGATGCTAGCATTTCTCTGTTTGCAAATTAAACAGTCATTGACATGGAAAATAGTATGTCCTTTAGGAACCTTATTGGAAATAAAATGAAAAGTTCACCAAGGCATAGATTCCAATTCACTGGTTCTGTTTCAACTTGGCATGTGTTTACGTGCAGCTATGCGGTCCACAGTGAATCACTGTATCTCCTTTAATTAATGCTTTGTTTCATTTACATATCCCTCAGGGTCTCTATTTGTAAAGGGAAAGGCTTTTTGTGACTGTCAGACTTAAGAACAGGGTGATTGATCCTGTGGTTTGAATAAGCAAGGTCGGGTTTTCCATTCAAATCGGTTTGTGGTGTCCATGAAGGAAGTCTTCTTTTTCACCTGTCCTTGACGTCATGACACACTTTCATAAGCGTATCCCCCATCACGATTTAAACTCTATACTCTGTACTGCTTTCAGTGCAGAAAGGCTATTACATGATGATAGTGGAACTAAAGGTTGTATACCTAAACATTATGATCAATTCAGGTCACTAAAGGTTGTACATTTGTCAGATCTGCTGCTTATGACCTCGTGTCCAGCACATCCAGGCGCGCGTCTCTTTTCGCATAGCTGGTGTTCCGACCATGACAATAGTTAATTTGAAGCCCTCAAGTTACCTTTATATTCCTTTTGCAGATTTGTTGACAATGAAGTGATTTCCTTGGTTTTGTTTGAGAAACTTATCTCTGCCTGTCTGTCTTCTAATCTTTGTAAATCTTCAGTGTTGGATTGCATGGAGGTTCTGAGACTCTGCGATAATTGCACACTACTAGAACTGTGGCTACCATGTAGGCTTTTTGCCATAATCTTTCTTTGTATCAGATTTGCAGGGCACCCACTGCATCCGTGCATGTGTTATTTTGATGTTTTTGCTTCCATTGATGCACTTATTGGCAGTGTAGCAGGACCTGGGGAACCCAGTTGGTTACCTCCTTTGGTAATGATAGGTCAGACTCTTTTCTCCAGTAACTTGACGGGACACAGTTCCAGGATACAACTTTGACAATGTTTATTTGGGCACACAGCCTTTTATGCACAGACCCCCATAGGGGGTCTCCATCCAACACAACACAATCTCATGCAGGAAGGGCTTGGGGAACAGATAACCATCTCCTGCTCTGGGAGATACTAACAGACACAGGGACACGCATGAGTACACATTGCATACAGGGGGGTGAATTTTGGGGCTCGGCGCCTAGAGACAGGAAGGGGGTACAGATGAATAGCCCTGGGTCCCCTATAGGACCCTTTGTAAAAAGCGGGGCGATCGGATGTAGTTCATTGGTGTTGCTTGGTTTAGTCGGGCAAATTCAAACTTTGAGCCTAAATCAAGCAACAACCAATCAGCCGAAATGGCGCAAACCAAATCGTGCCAATCAGTGTTAGGGGGAGGAAGAATTGTGTCGCGGCCCAATCAGAAGATAGGACGTGAAACCCGGTGTCACCATTCCGCTGAAAGGCGCAAAACTTATTTGCGTCATTCAGCGCCCAGCGTCCAACCAGACGGAAGGGCACAAAACCCCATTTGAACAAGTGCTCCTTCTCGGATTGGTGGACCACTCCCTGCGGCGACCAATCAGCGCTTTACTCGCGTCGAGAATGGCGCGAACCCAGTTTGAACGGGCGCTCCTTCTACCATTGGTCGGCACGGACTTCCATGCGGCCAGCGGGAACCCTGTGGCCGTGAGACTGACTCACAGCCCCAGGGCCTCCCTGCTGGCGCGCATCCCTCTCTCCGGTGGGTACCCACACTCAGGTATCCACCGGAGAGAGCATTCGCCTGGGTAGCCACGAGCCTAGCCTTGTAGCTCCTAGGTTTGAGAGTGGCAAGTGATTATAGCTCCGTTATGAGCAGGTAGGATGATCCCTGACACAGACTAATGCTCCCCCTGGTGGACGTTCGGTAATACGAACTGGCAGCCACCCAGGGGAAGCATGCACCGTTCGCTCCTTTGCGGTCTGCGGTTTTCACACCTCATTAGCGAGGTGTAAACGTTCTAAATGAAGTGCCGGGGAGCTCCGTGCGCCGGAGCACCCCTGGGTGGTCAAAATTTATTTTGCAGGGTTTTCGGTTAAAACTACAGAAAGGGGAAGGTTAAACAGGGAACACATACGTTCTAGGAGGGCACATCCACACATATAAAACGAGGCAATTCAGTTAGGCAGCGGTCCCGCCACAGGCAGTAAGGTGTAATCTCTGCAAGGGTTTAAAATACCTTGTGTTGATTTCCCAACCTTTCACCATCTCAGGAAAGAAATCAAAATTTCTTACTTGACAATGTATTTCCTTATGTTGAGAAGCCACACCATTTCATTGGTTGCTAGTTTTTTTGTTTAGTGCTTCAACTGCCTTTTTATTACTTCTTCCTATGCTTGGCTATATGACAAATGAGCTTGCAGTAGGAGGGCATGCCAACATGGCCTTTCACCATCAGGAACAGTAAACCGTGTTTCTAAACTGCTGTTTCTGAATTAGTAGTGTCTGAGTGCAAAATGGTTTGCTTTGGGATGTGTTGGTGATACAACTGTACACTTAATAAGTGTTTGCTCTGCTCTTTAAATAGGATAAAAAAGGATAGCAGTGGATCTGTTGCTCTGTGCTACTTGAATGAGCACTAGTTAAGTCCAACTTCAGCTTAGTGGAGTAATTATGGTCTATAGGTCATTCCCCTCTCGTCTCTGCCATTGAGGAGTTCATGTGTGACTGTCACAGACTGTGACATTGCAGTTAGGGGTCTGGTGGTTAGGCGGGGGCAGTTAAAAGGTAGTTCTACTTACCTGATCCTGTCCCATGCGAGTGCAGTCCTCTTTCTCCGGTGGGTCTTTCAGTGTGAGTAGCCGATGTCACTGCTATACAGCATTGAGGTCTATGGAATCCTTTATAGACAGAGCCAATTCGTTGCAGCAGTCACTGGTGATGGCTGGCGGGGTTTGATACTAGACTGCTGTAGCCCTGCCTAGTGTCTAGAAGTGTCAGGCGTAGGAAAAATAAGGAGTCAAAGTAGTCCCTAATTTGTCTCAATATATTTATTGACTGGGTTGGAATTTTAGTGAAAATTCTAACAATGAGTATTTCATAAAGATTCTAGCTTTACTTTATGAAAAACTCATTTTTCAAGGGGGTGTGACTGTGTTACTTCAAATCACTGTTTATAAAGCATTGTAACACCGCCCTGCATGTAGGTTAATCTCTCTACACGTTTCCTGTTCCTAACATCCTTTATTGCACAGTTTGTTTAATTTAAAGTGCCATATTTCATGCTCTATTAATAGCCTGCAGGAGCAGTCTGTGTGTAATTAAAGTTAAATTTACAGTGATCTGTTGGAGGCTGTGGAGGCAGAGAATTGAACAGTGAGACTGCAGTGGCATGAGCTATATACCAAAATTGTTTCATTAAGCTAAAGTTATTTTGTTGCTTATGTTATCCAATTAAATGTTAGCCACTGCAGGGGTGAATTTCTACTTGCCAGAGCTAAATTTTCACTTGCAGTAGTGAGTAGAAATCTTTGAGCTGTATCTATTTGCTAAATGTTGTAGATCAGGGGACCTCAAACTCAGGCCCCCCAGATGTTGCTGAACTGAAACTCCTATGATTCTCTGGCTATCTATGTAATTCAAAGAATCATGGGAGTTTTAGTTCAGCAACATCTGGGGGGGGGGCGGAGTTTGAGGACCCCGTTGTAGATAATTTTTCTATGTACTTCTAACTTTATTACTCACATCCACTATGACAACAGAGCCTAATCAGGAGAAAAGTACAATATAAGTATTGCTTATTAAAGGAGCGCTAAACATGTATTCCTGTTTAAAAAAACGGTTCCTACCCTTTTCTAGCGCCAAGGCACCCTTGGTGCTGCGCATCTTTTTACCTCCCACAACGTCAATCTGCTGATGTCCAATCTAACGCTCCTCCTAGAGGAGCATTGGGGAGACTATGCACGGCAAGTGCCACTTTCTTCTAACTTTCCCCAAAGGAAAGCATTAAATCAATGTTGTCCTATGGGAGCTACTGTCACATTCAGTATGACAGCCACTTGAGGAGGATTTAAGCTTGCAATGTAAACCATGTATTTTCTTAAAAACTGCAATGCTTTACATTTTAGAGTTACAGGGACATGACTTCTGCACTCAGACCACTTAAGTGAGGTGAAATGGCCTGGGTGACTTTTGTGGTCTCTTAACATCACCTATGATTTGAAGTAGTCTATAGTGTGTAAAATTTGCATTTATTTTTATTTGCAGTAATTTAACCTTCTATTCCATTTATCTTTACAGCCTAGAAAATTCTGCACAAAAGGCTGAGGCAGCAAGCAACAAGTTTGTTTTTGGACAGAATATGATAGAGAGAGTTTTGGTGAGCTTTCTGTGCATGCATTCTGTTACTATGTCTAAAACACTCGGTATATTTTAACCTTTTCTTTAACAAAGTCGAAATTGTTAATTGGGTTTTTCTTTAAAGCTGTAGTAATCATAAAATATTTAAGTATCACACTTCCACCTGCAGACCAAATAATGAAGCAGTCTAGCTGTGCAGTTTAATTTATATTTAATGTGGGGTTATAGCAACCATGCACATTTTTCTGATTGCAGTGGCTCTTTTGCAAGTTAGGATCTCAAGTGCAGGAATAATGTTTACAGTTTACAAGTGAGATGGGCATGAATGTGCTCCACTGCCATTCGTGAAACACAAGATGAGGGTTTGTGCACAGAATCAATCATACGTTGCAGGTACTGATGCCTACCTATCAGAAATGTCAAATCTCATATTGACCATGGATTATGCTGTACAGTTGACTGTGGCCCACTATATCCAATGGTGTAAAGACGTCAGAAGTCTGGCTGAATCCTATACTTGCTCAGTTTCCTATTCTCCCCTCTAGGATTTTGTGGTTACTTTTTTTTTTTTTTTTTTTTAAAAACCCTTCAGGACCGCTGACTGTTCAGGACAGTCAGCGGTAAAACGTGGGTTTGGACCGCTGACGGTCCTGAACCGTCATAGCGAAAAACGAGCTGCGGGAAGCGATCAAAGATCGCTCCCACCAGTATAACACTAACTATCTGCCAGACATCCCAGGCAGATAGTAACAGCCAATTGCGGTGTGTGAGCGATCGCTCACAATTGGCTGCTGTCAAAGTGGGTGTTACAAACACTCATTTTGACAGTGATCTCTGCCCCTCTCTCCTCTGTAGCGTTTTGTGAGGCGAGAGAGAAAGAGATCGTGATAGTTTGTTGCAGCAGAAGTGTTCCAGAGCTTTATACAGTATCTAAAGTGAATAAAAAAAAAATCACTTTTACCCCTTCCCTGCCAGATCTGTTACAGCAGTACATTTGTTTTGAATATTTTTGTCATCACAACATAAATGCGGATATCAAACTTATTATTATTATTATTATTATTATTATTTCAAGTATTCACCTACGCAGAGGCGTATATATCAGAATATATGCAGATATTCACCTGCGCAGAGGCGTGTATATCAGATCATGTGCATAATAATATACTGGCTTCTGTTTCGTTGCGTGCGTTTCGTAAAGTATAAACTTATCGTGCTCTATTATAAGCCTACGTTGCCTGCGCAGAAGCCTATTATATCAGCAGTGTTATCATAACAGAATAACAAATGGCGTCATCTGGTTGTAAAACCTATATACTGCGCTAATCTATATGACTGCGCCCGGGTAGATCCTATAATTATATAAATCCACCATCATTAACTGAAGTCTACAGATAATCTGATGGCGGCACGCATCAACGAGGTGGCATGTTAAGAGACAGGCATTGCGGCCCATATCTGTGTATGCTGACAGGCCTTAACCATATAATTCCGTTATGGAAGCAGTAATATCTAACTTGAACCTTAAGCCCATTGGGGCAATGTGACCGAACAACATAGTCGTGTTTATACTGAATTAATAAGCATAGATACATCAATTTCGTCATGGGCCGCCATTCTTAACAGCTGAATATCCCGTGCATTCTGCGTGTGTTAAAGCCTTTTATTTATTTGATGCATTAAGTAAAGAAAGCATAGTCATGTCATTGTAGACCATAAATGCATCGACTTTTGCCTGGGCAATGGCATGCTATGCTTAACTTCTGGGTATCCATTCTGTGCGTGCTAGCTGCAAAAGTTAGGGCCATATAATTGCATGTTGCGTTGGTTAATGAAAGCTTAAACATGACACATTTATGTAACGTATAAATGACAAAGGTAACAGAGCAACCAGACATTCAAGAAATTAGAAGTGAGAGCCATGTAACAGCGCCATGTTTGGCCTTAGCAAGTAAAATAAATGTGCTTAACATTGCTGGATTGGTCATATCATGGGTGTTTTTTTTTAAATTCTTTATTTTAGCAGTGGCATTTTCAGTATACAGAGTAGGCTGCGTGGTGTGGCTTGCGCAGAAGCCAGTAGTGCCATTGTCAGAATAGTGAGATAAACATACATCTGTTTGGCCTGCGCAGAGGCCGCTCTCAGCTGAGATGGACCTTGTTGCTGTAGCTGCCGTAGTCGTAAGCATGTACTGCCACATTTTCATATTGTAACAAGAACATACATAAAAGGGAGAGAAAATCAAAGAAAGAAAGAGAAAAGTCAACCAAAAGTAACAGTTTACATATGAAAGAGCTTGATCATCCGGGGAGTACGCAGGGTATTGACAGCTGGCCCCAAATGCCCGTGGGTTGGTGTATCTAAGGAGCCGCAACGGCACCCAGCCTCCCCCACGTAGGAGCGCTCCGGAGCAATCTGTCCCGACAAGCTCCAAACCCGTGATAGATCTTAGTATAAGTGCCGTTGCAGCGCCCCCATAAACCAAAAGACACCCTCACGCAGAGGCTACAGTGCAGTTGCGTCTGGCCTGCCCTAACGAGCAACGTCTGGTGCTCGTACAAGGTGTTTCTAAAAGTTGTTGATGGTGCGTGAGGGATAGTTCTTGCATTCGCTCCTACCTCTAGGGGGTCGTAGATTATGTACCAAGGATACCCCCAACTGGGCAGGGACCTAGGGTCCAGATACCCGTGGAAAAGTCAAATTGTGTGTTATTTCGGAGAAGCGAAATGGTCCACAGAGCGAGACCGTATACCCACAGGGAAAGGGCATATGCTTAGGTCGATCTTTAGCCATTATGGTTACCCTCAGTCACCCCGTAAGTACCGTCAGAGGCTGCCCCGCAGCCACCGGGAAGCGCCCCTGGAGGACGCCTCACGCTTGGCCCCACAGGCCAGTCCTACCGGCGGCACAGGGGGAGGATGGGCGCCTGTAGATGGGAGGAGTGAGACAGGAGAGAAGGCGTAGGACCCACCGCTGGAGAGGAGGGGTCGTCCAGAGGGGGGGGAGGTTCAGGCTTGGGAGCGGGAGTCCACATAGTCTTCCCATTGCTCCCACACCTTAAGGAAGTTTGCATACGTATCCCACACCTGTGCGGTGAGTTTGTCCATTAGGAAGGTGTCTTTAATATTGCCAATTACTCTATCCATATGCAGTGTTTCGGTCTGCAGCCACGTCTGTGCCAAGGCGCGCCTGGCCGCCAGATTTAATTTATTCAGGAGCTTTTGTTCCTTATTGGGGAGGTTGTCAATTGGTTTGGCAAGTAAGCAAGTCCACGGGTCAGGTCGGATTGGCTTTTTCAGTATGTCTGTCTGCAGGCGGGCAATATCGCTCCAGTATTGGGCAGCTTTCGGGCAGGTCCACCACATGTGCAAATAAGTGCCCTTTTCCCCACAGCCCCTCCAGCACACGTCTGAGGGTGATTTGCCCATGCGGTGGAGCTTGACGGGGGTGGTCTACCACCTCATGATCGTCTTGTAGCATTGTTCTTGGTGAATAACGCATATTGAAGACTTGGTAGCTGCCTCCCATATGTCCTGCCAGTCCCCGCTGTCCAGTGTTAGCTGGAGGTCAGCTTCCCATTGTGCTATAGTATAATTGATAGGATATTTGGGATTCTGCTGATGTACCTACAATAGAGGACAGAAAATAGTGCAAATATTGCTACACACTATAAAACCACTGATGAAAAATATGCACTCACATATTCCAAAGAATATAAGCGTATTAAGGGTGCCTCCCCCAAGTGATGGCCAGTGGGGTATCCAGGTCAGCAAGAAGATCCAAACAACTGCAGCCAAAGGAATACTTCAAAGGTGATTTATTCACTTATAAAAATCAGGAGGTGTTTTTTTTTTTTTTTTGCTATAAAAATGACGTATAAAGATGCCGAGAACAGTAGTAAACAGTATTAAACTGATGTATAAAGATGCCGAGAACAGTATTGAATGTTGTACAACATGTAATAATTGCAAGCGGAAACGATCTCGAGCTATTAGACGCTATGTACAGGATGTCAACTCTTAAAATCGAAATATCGTGAACAGTACTTGATGTGCATACTTGACCCTACCCTCTTTCATTCTGTACCCCAAGTGTGATTTTAAAATATTTCATAACTCAGTGATTTTACATTAATCATCATAGCTAGTTTCTATAATGCTATATTAACTCATAAAAATGTGCAATGTTAGTAAGCCATATGAATGTTTCTCTATGTCTACTATAAAGCCTGCACCAGCTGTTGTGGCAATGCAAGCATACCTGTATATTCTATGCACAACCAAAATAAAGAATTAAAAAAAAAATAAAAAAAAAAATCAGGAGGTGTATAAATGAAAATACATAAAAACAATATAAGAAAGAGATGCTGGTCCTACGCGTTTCGTCCTTATACAGAAGGACTTCCTCAGGGACCTCTTTCAGCACAATTAAATCACCAGAAATACAGAGAATAAAAAACAGCATCCTAAAAACGCTAACACATGAATAACCTTATATAGGGCTAATCCCTTCAAGTCATTGGTGGAATAGTGGGTGTTTTCTCCTCTTTTGACTCCTATTCGTCCAAAATTTCTTCTCCTCAGGTGTGTTCGCTTTATCAGAATGAAAAAAGCCGGGCTCGTTCCGAATTCGGCCACTTCCGCATACGTCATACGTTACGCTCGCGTCACGTGTTCCGTGATTCATCACATGATCATCGTGCGTTCCACACTCGGGAAATAAAATGGACGTGCGTTCCACATCATAGTGGCAGCCTGGAAATATCGTTTTTCTTTTGCCTAATAATTATACACACATAACTGGAAGCAAAAAAACTATTAGGAATCATATGAGAGAATTTAAAAATATTATATTAATTGTCCTCTAACAGTAAAACACTAAATATTATTCTTATAATGAATGTGCAACAACTTCCTATCCAAGTTGACCATTCATAATATTTATCATAGTATTGCAAAAAAAAATATAACAATTGATTATTAAATTCATATGTTCATGTATTGACATTAATACATTAACATAATGAACAAAACCATTAAAGTGCATAATCTTATTTAAAGTGACATGAGTGATATTATACTTATTTGCAAGTCTATATTATGTTAAGTGACATAAAAATTATTACTTATTAATTATTACATGCTCAATTACATATCCATATTGTGTAAACTAAAACAATTAACCAATCATATACTCAATGTCATATTCAATTTAAATAAAATGACATGAGTAATATATGCTCAATTCCAAATGTATCTCTATACATTAACAATTAGTTCAAAAAACAGACAATATCCATATCCACATTCAATCCCCTTGGGGCAAGAGTGCGTAACCTATGAATCCAATATGATTCCTTTTGTGCCAATCGTTTTTCTTTATTACCCCCTCTCCAGTGGGGTTGAATTTGTTCTATCCCCATACAACGCAGCCCCTTCAAAGAAAACAGGGGACAGTTATTACAGTGAAGGGGGACTGAATGAGTATCTAATTTTTTCTTTATGTTGTTAATGTGTTCCAAAAGTCTCACTTTTAAACATCTCTTTGTGCGACCAACATATTGGCTGCCGCATGGGCACTGAAGCAAATACACAACACAGTCCGAGCGGCAGCCAATCTCTGATTTAATGGAGAACGGTTTCCCTGTAACACAACTCCTATATGATGTAACCTTGTCTGTATTTACTTGCAAACAGGCTTTACAACTTTTGCAACCCCGGAAGCCTTTTATCCCTTTTTTTTAATATTTTTAACATCCAAGAGATGTTTAAAAGTGAGACTTTTGAAACATATTAACAACATAAAGAAAAAATTAGATACTCATTCAGTCCCCCTTCACTGTAATAACTGTCCCCTGTTTTCTTTGAAGGGGCTGCGTTGTATGGGGATAGAACAAATTCAACCCCACTGGAGAGGGGGTAATAAAGAAAAACAATTGGCACAAAAGGAATCATATTGGATTCATAGGTTACGCACTCTTGCCCCAAGGGGATTGAATGTGGATATGGATATTGTCTGTTTTTTGAACTAATTGTTAATGTATAGAGATACATTTGGAATTGAGCATATATTACTCATGTCATTTTATTTAAATTGAATATGACATTGAGTATATGATTGGTTAATTGTTTTAGTTTACACAATATGGATATGTAATTGAGCATGTAATAATTAATAAGTAATAATTTTTATGTCACTTAACATAATAGACTTGCAAATAAGTATAATATCACTCATGTCACTTTAAATAAAATTATGCACTTTAATGGTTTTGTTCATTATGTTAATGTATTAATGTCAATACATGAACATATGAATTTATTAATAATCAATTGTTATATTTTTTTTTTTTTGCAATACTATGATAAATATTATGAATGGTCAACTTGGATAGGAAGTTGTTGCACATTCATTATAAGAATAATATTTAGTGTTTTACTGTTAGAGGACAATTAATATAATATTTTTAAATTCTCTCATATGATTCCTAATAGTTTTTTTGCTTCCAGTTATGTGTGTATAATTATTAGGCAAAAGAAAAACGATATTTCCAGGCTGCCACTATGATGTGGAACGCACGTCCATTTTATTTCCCGAGTGTGGAACGCACGATGATCATGTGATGAATCACGGAACACGTGACGCGAGCGTAACGTGTGACGTATGCGGAAGTGGCCGGATTCGGAACGAGCCTGGCTTTTTTCATTCTGATAAAGCGAACACACCTGAGAAGAAATTTTGGACGAATAGGAGTCAAAAGAGGAGAAAACACCCACTATTCCACCAATGACTTGAAGGGATTAGCCCTATATAAGGTTATTCATGTGTTAGCGTTTTTAGGATGCTGTTTTTTATTCTCTGTATTTCTGGTGATTTAATTGTGCTGAAAGAGGTCCCTGAGGAAGTCCTTCTGTATAAGGACGAAACGCGTAGGACCAGCATCTCTTTCTTATATTGTTTTTATGTATTTTCATTTATACACCTCCTGATTTTTATAAGTGAATAAATCGCCTTTGAAGTATTCCTTTGGCTGCAGTTGTTTGGATCTTCTTGCTGACCTGGATACCCCAGTGGCCATCACTTGAGGAGGGAGAATTAAAGGAGAATAACCCCCCTATTTATACCCTGGGGGAGGCACCCTTAATACGCTTATATTCTTTGGAATATGTGAGTGCATATTTTTCATCAGTGGTTTTATAGTGTGTAGCAATATTTGCACTATTTTCTGTCCTCTATTGTAGGTACATCAGCAGAATCCCAAATATCCTATCAATTATACTGTTCTGCTATAAGGTTATCAGCCGGGAAAAAACCTTGGGAAGCTGTGTACTTTTCAGTTAAGTTGTTGTGTTTTATCACTTCTCTCACGGGTGTCCATGTTTTTGTTTCCCATTGTGCTATGTATGAAGGTGCTTGGGATGCCTGTGTGGGGGCGCTGAGCTGCTCATATAGTCGGGTTATAAGGCCGGCACGTGGTCAGTCCGACATACAGAGAGTTTCATAGAATGTGGGCTTTTCTCTGGCCGCTTTTAATATGTGTGGTTTTCGCGCATAGTCCCGTACCTGCAGGTACCGAAAGTAGTCCCTGCCTGTCAGAGGAGCCCGCGCCTTTAAGTCGTCAAAGTTGTGGAATGTTGTGCCTTGGAATAGGTGACAGTACCACTGTAGGCCCGCGTCCTTGAGGCCTCGAAAATCCCGCGGGGTCATGCCCGGGGGGAAGGCCTTATTCCTGAGATATGGTGTCATGGGTGAAATGGGATGCGCGAGGGCATATTTCTGAGCCACTTCATTCCAAACTCGTATCGAATTCAGAATGGCCGGGCACATGGTTCGCAGCTCAGGGCGGTCGGGTCTGGGCACCCAGATCCAAAACTGGGGCAGGTCGGTGCTCATAAGGAGCGTTTCAATGTCCACCCATCTGTGTGTATCAGGGGGTGAGTGCCACTCGGCAATTTGCGCCAGCTGGGCCGCCAGGTAATAGAGGTGTAAGTTCGGGAGCCCTAAGCCTCCCCTACTCTTCGGGGTATATAACGTATGTCTCGCTATTCTATGTCTCTTGCCCGCCCAGATAAAGTTGTCAATAGCGGTTTGCAGCGGTTTAAGGTCAGTTCTCGTGACCGCTACTGGTAATGCCTGGAAGAGGAAAAGGAGGCGAGGGAGTAAATTCCTTTTAATGGTATGTAGCCTGCCCAGCCACGAAATGGGCTTTTCGTGCCACCTATCTAGGTCCCTGCGTAGAGCGTGCATAAGTCTTTGGTGGTTTTCAGCGTACAGGTCGGCGTTGTTTTGCGTGAGGCAGATGCCCAAGTATTTGATGGGCTGTATGCGAATTTTGAGGTCTGTTGTACGCTTCAGCCACTCAATATCTGTGTCCGCCAACCCAAGGGGCATACCGACTGACTTGTCTATGTTAATCCTGTACCCAGAAACCTGGTGATACGTATTGAGGTTTAGGAGATGTGGGACTGTTACCCTGGGGGCCGTGAGAGTAAGTAAGATGTCATCGGCATACGCCAAAACTTTAAACTCCTCGGATGCGTTTTTTTTTTTTTTTTTTGGTTTTGTTTTTTTGCCCTGCACTCTGTTATCAGTTCTGATTTGGTGTAGAAGGGGCTCCAAGGCCAAGATGAAGAGAAGGGGGGAGAGGGGGCAGCCCTGAGGGGGGCCATTCTTAGAATCAAATGGGGCAGGTGGTGCTCCAGGGATCGATATCTGCGCTCTCGGGGCCGCGTATAACGCTCGGGTCGCTCTAATAAACACAGGAGGAAGTTGCATTTCCTCGAGTAGGGCGAACAGGTACGGCCACTGGAGCCGATCAAAGGCCTTCTCCGCGTCCAACGAGAGGACCAGAGAAGGCGTACTTGTCCTGTGTGCCCACCACATCAGGTCAACTGCTCATCTCGTGTTTCCGTATAGGTGCCTGTTGGGAACAAAACCCACCTGATCCGCTTGGATCAGCTTGGGTAGAATGACGTTTAATCTAGTGGCCAGAATCTTTGCATAGACTTTGAGATCAAAGTTAATGAGTGAGGTAGGGCGGTAGTTGGCTACATTAGTGGTATCGCGGTCTGGCTTGGGGATGAGGACAATGTTTGCGGTGGATAGGTCAGTGTTGGGTGCGTCAATCTCTGTCCATGTTTGGTACATGTTTGCCAGTCAGGGGACCAGGTGTTCATTGAACACTTTGTAATAGGAGCCATCAAATCCGTCCAGGCCAGGGGCTTTCCCCCCTTTAAGATCCGTTATGGCTCTATTAATTTCGTCTTGTTCTATGGGTGCTCCCAGGTAGTCGGTTGTCTGCGCTGGGAGGCGTGGCAGATTGAGACTCCGCAGGAAGTCCCTAATTTGCTCCATATGTGTTTTGTTTTGTTCACGTCCGTGAGAGTAGGGGAGTGGTTATACACTTGGGTAAAGAATTTTGCGAATTCGTTAGTAATGTCGCCCGGGTTGCTGAGTACGTTCCCCTGTGCGTCTTTAATGGCAGTGATAAAGGAGTGTGTGCACTTCGGCCTTAGAGCCCGCGCCAGAAGGGTGTCCATTTTGTTGGACTTTTCCTAAAACAATCTTTTCGTATGGAGCAGATCTCTGCTGACTTCGTCTAGCATGAGCTCTGAGTTCTCGTCTAATTTCAGTCAGTTCCCTAGTGTTGTGTGTGTGTGTGTGTGTGTGTGTGTGTTTGTGTGTGGGGTGGCCTGGTGCTTGTTTTGCATTTCCGTCCTACGTAATTGCTTTTGGAGCACGGACAACCTTTCCAACTTCGCTCGTTTTTGGTGAGTAGCTATTTTAATCAATAGTCCCCTGATCACTGGTTTATGGGCTGCCCATAGTGTGGTAGGCGATACGTCAGTCGTGTCGTTTTCCTGGAAGTAGCGTGTTATCTCAGTCTGGACAAGCTCTTTTATCATGGGTGTTTTTCACAGGTATAATTTCGCTAGGGGCTCCATCGTTTACCACTCGGTTAGAGTTTGCCCAACTAAACATGCCAGAGACACACAAACGAACTGTTTTGCAGTACATGTGGAGAAAAGAAAAGAAGAAAGAAAAAAATAAATAAAATTATGAAAACAAGCCCAAAAGGGGGCCAGTAAAGTTAATTGAGGACTCTAATGCTCTTAACGGTTACAGGGCTGGTCTGTCCTTAAGATCAGTTCACTAAGGGCCGTAAATTGCACAGCTGCCTTGCCGTTCCCGGGCCGCCGAGTCCCTGTCTGTCCTCCCCGCAACGACCCCAGTCCGTTTCCAGGGTCCTCCGTAGCTCTGTGGGCACTCGGGTGTAGGGGCTGCCCATCCGACTCCCACACCTAGAGTCCATGGGCCCCTGTCTCCCTGCACCTCCCCATTACCACCCAAGATCCAGGACTCAGAGGAGCGTGTTACCCACTGTCTCACCCGGTGCCGGACACTTGTTTGGAGCCGGCGCGCACCCCCACCCGGCCACGGGGCCGCGCAGGCCCGCCCCTCACGGCTTAAGGGACATGGCCCTCTGGGGACCCCACATACCCAGGGGCTAGGGCACCCACTCCTCCAGCGGGCGAGTAGTCATCACAGGGGATCTTATTCAGTGCTCAGCTGTGCCCAAGTCCGCAAGGGCCGTCCAGTACGGGCCTCCATAGCTAGTTCTCTCCACATTTACCCCTCTGATGTTGCGGTAGCGCCTTTAATGGGCGCTCTTGTCGGTAGTGGGGCTCTTTGCGGGTCCAAGCCTTCTTGCTACCGATCTGGGTGCCTCCTCGGGTGAGTGTTTCAACCTCTCCACAGGTACCTCCGGTGTTGCTGGCTGTTTGAGTTTCGTGCAACCGGTGCCAGTGCAGGCAGTCGGCATCCGAACCGCCCGGGAACTCCTGCTGCGACCCGTGCCTCCTCCTGGAAGCCGGGGTATCCCCCGCCTGCCCAAGAAAGGGGGGGGGAGGGGTAAGGGCCGTGCCCCGGGCTGAGTATTACCCCCTGTCGAGGTGTCTATAGCGGGGTACGTTGGTTTTCTGCTCCTCAGGGCCATGTTGCCTGTAATTGCTGCTGGTTTTGTGGCGCTCCGCCTCGTGCAGGCCGTATCCGGCCCTCTCTACTTGCCCGGCTTGCAGTGGGCATTGTGCAGGTATCGGGGGTAAGCTGGTGCCGGTCTCTGTTCGGATCTGGCTGAGTATTGTATATTTAGGTGGTCTGGGGCGATTGTTTTAGTGCCTTTTTTTTATCCGCTCAGTGCAGGAGCTCATGTTAATGGCGGCTCCGCCCCGTCCAGCAGTACATTTGTACTGTCTGTATTTTTTTTTTTGCCCTTAACGGGTTAAATTTGTTTTAAAAATCTGTCTTGGTCAGTCAGTTTCCTTCCCCCAAATCTCCATTAGATTTTTGTGACAGTTAGTTTAGGGATTGCTGTTTAGTCTGTTTTAGTAAAAAAAAAAAATTGTGTTTGTAATTTGTTTTAGTCGTGTGAAAAACATGCAGCGTATGTATAACTTGCAAGGGGGCATATGCCTTCCTGGCGTCAGACTCTGACGCCACTGACACTGCGTCAGATTTTGACCCAGGTCAGTTTTCTGACACGTCTGGTCAAGACGACAGGTCATCTGTGTGTGAGCCGGCTGAAGAAAGAAGCTGTGCTTCCTCTGCTACGCCGAATGTGGAGGAGGACTGGGTACCTCCACAGTTAGCCGAGCCCAACGCCCTCCCTTTTAGTGCCAACGCAGGCATTAATGTTAATGTGGATGGCTTCTCACCAATGCAGTATGTAGAACTATTTTTAGGGGATACTATCTGGGAGGAGATTGCTTCCCAGACTAACTTGTATGCAACCCAATTTATTAATAACAATCCAGGTAGCTATACAGTCAGGGAGCATGACTGGCATCCCACAGATGTCCCGGAGCTTAAAAAATTCTGGGCTCTTACAATGCTCATGGGGATTATAAAGAAGCCATCGATTTGCTCATACTGGAGCACCAACCCAATGTCTAGTCCATTATTCTCCCAAACCATGCCTAGAGCCAGATACGAGTTACTGCTGAGATTTTTACATTTCAGTGCCAATACCCTCTGTCACCCTAGAGATCACCCCCAATACGATAGGCTTTATAAAATATGCCCACTGTTAGACCATTTTCAGGACAAATTTTCAGATGTTTATACCCCCCAACAAAATTTATCCATAGATGAATCTCTAATGAAATACAACGGGAGATTAGGATTCAGACAATAGATCTCCTCAAAGCGCTCTAGGTATGGCATAAAACTGTACAAACTGTGCGAGAGCGAAAGTGGATACACGTTTGCCTTTCGTGTATATGAGGGGAAAGATGGTCAACTGGACCCCCCTGGCTGTCCTGACTCCCTGGGGACAAGTGGGAAGCTTGTATGAGACCTACTAAACCCCTTGTTTATTAAAGGCTACCACCTTTATGTGGATAATTTTTATAGTAGTGTCCGTCTGTTTAAAACACTTATTATGGTTTACAGACACTGGCCTGCGGCACTGCCAGAAAACATTCCAAAGACTTTCCACGATCTCTCATAGAGGCAAAATTTTAAAAAGGCGAATGTTAAGCACTTTGCGAAGCTGAAGTGCTTGCACTAAAAAATTTAGGGACAGGAAGGATGTCAACATGCTAACCACCATCCATGACTAACGCATGTCAGACGTCTCTGTCCGGGGCAGAGTAGAGTCCCAACCGGTTTGCATCAGGGCGTATAATAAGTACATGGGGGGTGTTGATTTGGCTGATCAGCTGATGCAGCCATATCTTATTTTACGAAAAACCAAAGCATGATCTAAAAAGGTGGCTATCTATATGATGCAAATAGCAATCCACAACTCATTTTTCCTTTTTTTTTTTTTTTTTTTAAATAATCCAGGGAAAATCACCTTTCTCCAATTTCAGTTGAAAATTATTTCTTTAACAATTTATGGAGATGGACAAGTTCCAACAACGGTGCAAGCGGAGTCCAGACATTTTATTTTTAAGTTACGGCCAACTGCTAGAAACCCCCCCCACCCCCCCAGAAACATTGCGGAGTCTGTTTTAAAAACGGGAAAAGGACAGAAAACCCTTTTCACTGTCCTGATTGCCCTTCGAAACCAGGACTGTGTGTAGGAACATGTTTTAAGCTGTACCACACAGAACAGTTGTAAGAAGTGTTCCTGTATTTTTATTTTCTTTTTTGTTTCTTTGGAAAGCAGACTTTTTTTTTTTGTCGGTTTCATTCCCCCAAATCTCCAGTTAGATTCTATTTGTAGGAGTCAGTTTAAAGATTGCTGCTAAATGTACATTTGCTACCTGCACATTTGGTCTAACAAGTTTTCTGGCAGTAACACATAACCAGCTGGCCAAAACCAGATGACGTGTGCATAAAAACCAGAATTAAAAAATTACCACTACACTTTCTTTGGGGGCAAAATGGTTGGGGGGGAAAGAAGTCAAAACACCCCATCTTCTATATAACCTTTGACGTCTACTTTATAAAAAATATACTGTCATGATGGTAACATTAACTGGGGGGTGCAAAATATGTCAAACTGAAGATAGACCAAGCATACCTATATATCAAGTTGAAAAACTGACATGTACAAGTTCTGATTGTTGCCTTTTGGCCCCCAAACAACCCAGCAACCCTATACATGGGGGGTATCACTGTACTCTGGAGATGTTGCTGAACATATTGGGCAGTGTTTGGCAGTGACACAATACAGGATTTGTTAATTCATGCCTAAAGTACAATGTGTGTGACAAAGAAACCAAAAAAGATTACTACCCAAAAGTTTGACAAAGGCTGGTGGTAGAATTCAGTGCATGAAAAGTTTTAAAATACCACCATTTAAAATACCCTGGGTTGTTTACTTTTCAAAAATATATGGTTTGATGGGGGTAAAATACATTGGCTCAAATGGGACCTGGGCGCAGGTTGATTCCATGTCAAAATTCCAAGTTGAGAAACTGATAAGCGCACCTGCCAAATGTAGCCTTTTAGCCCCCAAAGAACCCGACAAGCCTATGCATGGGTGGTATCATTGTATTCAGGAGATCTTGCTGAACACATATTGGGGTGTTGTTTGGCAGTGATACATAACAGGATCTGTTAATTCATGCCTAAAGTACAATGTGTGTGGAAAAAAAACAGAAAATAAATACTAACTCAATGTTTGACAAAACCTGGTGGTAGAATTAGTGCATGGAAAGTGTTAAAATACCACCATGTGAAATACCCTAGGGTGTCTAATTTTCAAAAATATATGGTTTGATGGGGATAAAATACATTGGCCGGCTTCAAAAATGTCCCAAATAGGACATGCGTGCAGGTTGACTACATGTCAAAATTCCAAGTTGGGAAACTGATATGCGCACCTGCAAAATGTGGCCTTTAGCCCCCAAACAACCCAACACACCTATACATGGGGGGGTATCCCTGTACTCGGGAGATGTTGCTGAACACATATTGGGGTGTTGTTTGGTAGTGACACCTAACAGAATCTGTGAATTTATACCTGAATTGCAATGTATGTGAAAAAAATAAACTACCTATGCAAAGTTTGGCAAAGGTTTGTGGTAAAATGGCTGCATAGAAAGTATCAAAATATTCTTAGGTGAATACCCTGGGTTATTTAGTTTAAGAAAAATATATACATGTGGGGTGTATTATTTTTTTGTTTTGTTTTTTGGAGATTTATGACATAACAGTGTTACAATGTTCACTATTGATACATTTGAAAAATGTACATTTTGAAACAGCAATTTCCTACTTGTACTTATAACCCTATAACTTGCAAATAAAAGCAAAAAAACACAAACATTGGGTGTTTTTAAACTCAGGACAACATTTTGAATCTATTTAGCAGTTTGTTTCATTTGATTTTGTAAAGATTTTTTAAGTAAAAGTGATTTTTTTTTTTTCATTTTTTTTTTTCTTTCAATTTTTCACCATTTTATTTTTTTAATTATGACATGATAAAAATAAAATGTAAAGAAAGCCCTTTTTGTCCTGATAAAAACAATATATAATTTGTATCGGAACAGTAAATGAGAGAGCGTAAAACTACAGCTAAACACAAACACCACAAAAGTGTTACAATAGCTCTGGTCCTTAACGCACAAACATCGCAAAAACAGTCTGGTCCTGAAGGGGTTAAACTTTTTTTTTTTTTTTTTTTTTTTATACTCATTGAGCTAAGCTAGCAGTATTTGTGTCTGCTTGATATTTGTTTCTTTCTGTCATGTGATTCTAGTGTTTTGTTTGCTATATTTGTACAGAGTCCACCCAAAGCCGAAGCCAATTCAGACAGCAACAAGGAAAATGCAATTTTGGAACCTGGATCTGATAATTCTTCACTGGAAAATACTCCAGAAAAATGTAATGAAATCCCTTTTGCACGTTTGTAGTTTTAACCATGTCAAAACAAAGTTGGTGTTCCATATGGAACAATCTAGCCCTTTAAGATTGTCTTTGTCAAACCCTTGCCATTCCACAGCCTGGAATAAGGATATTAAAGGGTTATTGTAAGCATCACAATGTGTATATGCTGACAGTGGTAATGGGGTCATTAGGCAGCTGGTGCTACTCCTATTTTTGGAAATCCATCCCCTAGCATTGTTTGAACATGGCCATACGCTTCCATTTTATCCATCATATTTTGAAGCAATTATTTGTCTTAACTTGTCATCTAATGCACACAGTCAAATAATGGTGTCAAAATGAATAAAACTAATATTGCTAAAACATATGTAATGAGTAGGGGTAGGGGCAGGCTCAGTTTGACAACAGACTTAGGGGCAGCACCTGGAACCCATTAGTATCATAGCCACTACAGTTGTATCTAGTGATCATGGTGCTTAGATGACTGTTCATTTAATAGTATAGTTCCCTTGTTTGTCAAGCCAACTAGTAAATATTAATTTACTAGTCCAATGGGATATGGGAAATAATCTTTTGAAAGGCTGAAGGTTTTTTTTTTTAGTTTTTTAGACCATTAATGCTTCTGATTTTCTGAAATCTCTTCAGCTAATAACATTTCTGAATCACTGGCGGAATCTGCAGCTGCTTATACGAAGGCCACAGCAAAGAGATGCTTACTTGAGAAAGTGGAGGTGATAACTGGGGAAGAGTCGGAGAGTAATGTATTGCAGGTGAGATCAACCCTGTTCTCATTTTGTTTATGATGGTGATCATTTTGAAGAAATGTTTGTTTTGGTCCCGATTAGTCCAAGCTAATTAAATCATAATATGCTGTGTTCAGGTTTGAAAAAAATTTCTGTTTAAAATAGCTGGTTTTAAATCTGTTAACTAAATTATTATTATTTTTTTATTTATTATTTTGGTCCTTCCAATAGATCCAGTGCAAGCTGTTCGTATTTGATAAAGTGTCACAATCCTGGGTAGAAAGAGGTCGAGGTCTGCTGCGTCTTAATGACATGGCCTCCACTGAGGATGGCACATTACAGTCCAGGCTTGGTATGTAGGCCTCTGTTATATTATAGTTTTTATGTTTTGTGTTTTGTGTTTCACACACCAATATAGTCCAGAGACAATGAGAAGTAGAATAAAAGTAGCACTTTATGTTTTTTCTTAAATTTGTATCCAACAGAGACCAAGGGTTTGACTTAAAATAATATTCCAAGCTAAAACTTTTAACTTTTAAAGCATGTGATTTTATGGAAACGTAAAAAAAAAAAAATTACTTTAATTTGCAAAACATACTTAAACTGAGAAAGAAGTGAAGACATAGATTTTCAGTTAAAACCTAAACCAGCTTCCAGTTTAGAGGTTGGTTGATAACCAATCAGTATGAAGTACATGAATTTTGTTTGATTTATGTATTTGATGCTGTTAGTACATCTGAACATATTTAAAGGGACACAATAGGTACCCAGACCACTTCATCTCATTGAAGTGGTCTCTGTGCAGTGTCCCAGTCCCACTTAGTCCTGCAATGGAAATCATTGCAGTTTTAGATACTGACTTTAGAGGCACTTCCTGCTTGTTAGGTGACTTTTGGTACAGTGTCCGTCAAATCCCCATAGGTAAGCACTATAGCTGGGTTAGTATTCTAATTTGTCAGGTGCATTGAGCGGTGAAAGTGCTTTTTAGTAGAGCTATCCCTGCACAGGCAAATGTAATTTCTAATACTAACCTGAATTTAATTTTACAATTACTCCTAGCATTTACCTGTGTAGCGGACCCTAGGTAACCCGACTGGTTTCCTCCGCTATTAATAAATGAACGGACCCATTTCCCTTCCATTAACTGGACGACACACAGTTCCAGGGGTACAACAACAACTTTATTGGCTACACGCGGCTTTATACTTTCCCCGTGCAAGGGGTGGAATACACATGAAGACAATGTCCCCTCCCAGGGTCTTCCCCCGCCTGAGGGTCGTATAACAGAAACCCAGTCTGTAACCTGTTCACGCCACTCTGTGTCCCCTCCCAGGGCCCTCCTACTCCCAGGGGTCCCCTGACATGAACGGAACTCCAGTCCCTTTGTCACCTCTTCCCGCCACTTGTGTCCGCTCCCATGGCCCTACCCAGGGTCTTCTTCATAGAAATCTCTGTATCTGGGGGTCGTAATACGGGAAACTTCCAGTCTCATTGTCTCCCAGTGACAGAGAGCCTGCCAACCTCCGCCATTGTCCCCAAAGGATGTCCCCATAACTGTAACCTATACTAACGGCAGCCACCCAGGGAAGCACTCATTAATTACTTCCCATGCGGTTTCACACTATGTTGCGAGTTGCCAACGATCTAATGGATTGATGTGAACACTCCAATGGGTGCTGGGGAGGTCCTTGTTTGGGAACCGCTCGATGTGGGAAGAAATCCGCGAATGCTCCCCCTGGATGGCGTTTGTCTAACGAATGGGCTGCCATCCAGGGAAGGTGCGAGCCGAGGCTTCCCTTGCGGTTTTGACACCTCATTATGAGGTGTGAACTTTCTAAAACCACATTCTAAACGGGATTTAGTGGTGTTCCCCGTTCTGGAGGAGCAGGTAGATCTACAAACACAACGAAGGAAACACAGGGTCAAGATAGGGAAAACACACAAAAGGGATGTCAGGACACTAACACACATTGCAGGGTAAGTGGGGGTTCAGTTACAATCTGCATTTTAGTTTGAAATTATTATTATTATTATTTTTTTTTGTAAAGTGACATTCTGGTAAAACATAAGACACACCTCCCACCCTCTGCTTATCACAGCTATACATTGCTGGTAAGCGTTGGTATGGTTAAGGTGGAGTGTAATTCTCACCTTGGCCCTGCATCCAGCAAGGGCTGCAAATTTCCATAGACCCTCATTCAGTATTAAAGGGACACCAAACTTAATCTTAATGGAGCAGTTTTGGTGTATAGATCATGCCACTGCTCTCTCACTGCTTAATTCTCTGCCATTTAGGAGTTATTATTATTATTATTATTATTATTATTATTATTATTGCAATTTATAAAGCGCACACAGATTCCGCAGCGCTGTACAATTAGTTGAGAAACGTACAATATACACAAACAAATACAAGAGGTAAGAGAGCCCTGCCCGTAAGCCGATATCTAGCCATTGGAGCTCTTTTATACAAAGAGCTCCAAAGGCTGTATATACTTTGTTTATACAGCCCTAGTCACACCTCCCTGCATGTGACTTACACATCCTTCTTAAACCCTTCCTATAAAGAGTCATCTATGTTCATATTTCATTTATTGCAAGTTCTGTTTAATTTACAATGTCTTATTTTCTGCACTATTAATAGCCTGCAGGAGCCTCCTGTATGTGATTTTAAAATTCAAATTACAGAGGAATTATTTATTTTAAATAAATTTACTAGTGGTAATGTTTTATGCAGTATTTTGAGAGGGATGTACTTTTGGTAGGGATCTGAAAACGGCAATTCTTCTTCTTTTCCCTCTCTTAGCATAACCGTAAGAACTCTTACTCCTGTAACCAATTTCTAAATGTATATATTTTTATTTTTATATCTGACAACCACATGTAACATAGTGTCTACATGCTTTTAACAAGAACTAATGCTTGTTCTTACTATATGCCTGTTTATGTCCTTTTAAGTAATGCGCACCCAAGGTAGTCTGCGGCTTATCCTCAACACCAAACTATGGGCCCAGATGCAGATCGACAAAGCAAGTGAAAAGAGTATCCGGATAACTGCAATGGACACAGAGGACCAAGGGGTCAAAGTCTTTTTAATTTCGGTGAGTTGTAATTTCTAGAAGTCATCCAAACCTGATGAACCCCAATCACAGTTGCTAGTTGTAGCCAATAGATATCCAACAACATTCTCATTCTGCAGAAAGAACGTTCTCCATTTCATAGAAACATAGAATGTGACGGCAGATAAGAACCATTCGGCCCATCTAGTCTGCCCAATTTTCTAAATACTTTCATTAGTCCCTAGTCTTATCTTATAGTTAGGATAGCCTTATGCCTATCCCACGCATGCTTAAACTCCTTTACTGTGTTAACCTCTACCACTTCAGCTGGAAGGCTATTCCATGCATCCACTACCCTCTCAGTAAAGTAATACTTCCTGATATTATTTTTAAACCTTTGTCCCTCTAATTTAAGACACTGTCCTCTTGTTGTGGTAGTTTTTCTTCTTTTAAATATAGTCTCCTCCTTTACTGTGTTGATTCCCTTTATATATTTAAATGTTTCTATCATATCCCCCCTGTCTCGTCTTTCCTCCAAGCTATACATGTTAAGATCCTTTAACCTTTCCTGGTAAGTTTTATCCCGCAATCCATGAACCAGTATAGTAGCCCTTCTCTGAACCCTCTCTAAGGTATCAATATCCTTCTGAAGATACGGTCTCCAGTACTGTGTACAATACTCCAAGTGAGGTCTCACCAGTGTTCTGTACAATGGCATGAGCACTTCCCTCTTTCTACTGCTAATACCTCTCCCTATACAACCAAGCATTCTGCTAGCATTTCCTGCTGCTCTATTACATTGTTTGCCTACCTTTAAGTCATCAGAATAATCACCCCTAAATCCCTTTCCTCATATGTTGAGGTTAGGACTCTATCAAATATTCTGTACTCTGCCCTTTGGTTTTTACGTCCAAGATGCATTATCTTGCACTTATCCACATTAAATGTCAGTTGCCACAATTCTGACCATTTTTCTAGTTTACCTAAATCATTTGGCTTATCCCTCCTGGAACATCAACCCTGTTATAAATCCTATAAATCACACCTACACGAGTTACTGTGTGATTACCAAATTCTAACGTAGCCCAAACGGACTCTGTTTGCCTCACTAACTTTTATTAGGCTAGATTTTATGCTATCCTTCACATACAAGGCCACCCCTCCCCCTTTCTTGCCTTCCCTATCTTTCCTATATAAAGAGTACCCTGGTATTGCTATGTCCCAGTCATTTTTCTCATTGTACCATGTCTCAGTAACAGCGACTAAATCTACACTATCAGTTGCCATTATTGCCACAAGTTCATGGATCTTATTCCCTAAACTGCGAGCATTTGTAGACATGACTCTAAGCTTATGATTTATTTTTATTTTTTTTAATTGTATTTTATGAGGTACAAACAGTAAATGTGCATTGTTGGTATGTACAATCATCAATTGCCACAATGGCATCCCCTATATTCAACATACGTAAAAACTTGATGCAATCCCAGTGTTTACATGCTTTCCAAATTTTTCACAACTTCCCGTATCACACGGTGCAAAACAATCAAACACAACGTTCTTGTACTAGTTTACCCGGTGATTGTAACACAGCATTACATCACCGCCCATTGGAATAGTTATACCATTGAATACCTAGACTCGTTTCCTGGCATTAGAGTCAAATGATATGTGTAGGGTTCGCAGTGTCAGTGGTCTTACTGTATTTGAACTCATTGTTCTCATTTTCCTTTACCCCCTCTGACTGCGGCTTTAACTTGTCTATTAGTTCGGGGTATTGACGTTACAGGTATACCTTCTTGTTTGAGATTTCTTCCTTTCGTACCTGTTTTTTATTCGATATGTATGTGTGAGTTGTGAAACAATAGCTAAAACTAAAAAACTAACAGGGGGGAACAAAAAGAAAAGCAAGAAGAACTGGGTGGTGGGAGGTGGGTGTACTCCTTCAATATAGTGTTAAAGGTTGGGATGGAGAGTTGTGGATTAGTCAATGATAGCATTACATCATCGGCAAATGCTGTTAGTTTGTATTCCCTTCCCCCTCTTACTATGCCTGTGATTTGTGGTTCGTCTCTAATGGCCTGTAACAGTGGCTCCAGTGCTATGATATAGAGGAGTGGTGACAATGGGCAACCCTGCCTAGTTCCATTAGTTATGTAAAAGGGCTGTGATGCGAAGCCTCCATTTGTCACTCTAGCCGAGGGTTTGGAGTATAATGCCGTTATTAAATTTAGGAATGGTTGTGGGAATTGAAATTTCTGTAGTGTTTCTCGTAGGAAGCCCCAGTGCAACCTGTCAAACGGTTTTTCAGCGTCAAGCGACAGGAATACACTGGGTTCTCCCTGTCGTTGCTTTGTGTAAAGTAAATTGTATAGTTTCCTTGTGCCCTCAGCCCCTTGTCTGCCTTTAACAAACCCCACTTGATCTTGTTTGATTATTGTAGGTAGCATATCTGCGATTCTTGTGGCATATAGTTTAGCTAGGATTTTGGTATCTGTATTTAGGAGGGATATGGGCCGTAAGTTTTGAGGCTTAGTTGGGGGTTTACTTGGTTTCGGCAGGGTAACTATATGTGCCATCAGCATGTCCTGTGGCATCTTGCCCGTGGATATTATGTGGTTAAATGTATCTACTAAATGTGGTCCTACATTGTGGCTAAATGTTTTATAGTAAGAATTTGTAAGACCGTCTGGTCCCGGTGACTTGCCCGGGGGGAGTGATTTAATTATTTGTAGGATTTCAGACAGGGTGACGGGATCGCAAAGCTTTTTATTTTGGTCTTCTGTTAGGCTGGGCAAAGAGATGTTAGATAAGAAGTTTTGGATGTCGTGTGCGGACGGTTGATGTGTCTGGGGGTCCTGTTTTATGTTGTATAGTGTGTCATAGAAATTGGCCATTTCTGCTAGAATCTCCCGTGGGTGATGCGTTTTTCCTCCTGTGTGATTATGTAGGTATGGGATTTTTGATTGGGCTTGCTTCTGTCTTAGGAGCGATGCCAAAGCCTTGCCGGCTCTATTACCCTGAGTATAATTGCGTATCTTCAGGTTCTGAAGCGTATGTGCCGTTTCGTCTAGTAGTAGCTCATTTATTTGCTTTGTGATCAAAATTATTTCCTGTGCCAAGTCTGCTGTAGGGGTTAGATAGTGGGCGCTTTGTAAATCCCTCAGTTTTTTTTAATGAATCAAGATATTTTTGGTCTTTAGCTCTTTTTATATACACTGCCCTACTAATAAAGATCCCTCTAACCACTGCTTTATGAGCTTGCCAGGTGGTTGTGGGTTCCAATTCTGGTAGAGTGTTGTTGTGGAAGTATTCTTGGATATCTTGGCTTAGTTGAGTGCGGAAGTCTTTATGCATGATTAGAGCGTCATTTAGTCGCCACGGGGGTTTCCCTTTATGGTCAAATTTGGCTCGCAACCTTACTGACACTGGGGCATGGTCAGACCACACTATGTCCCCAATCTCACTACTTGTCATTCTTGGCAAGATGTCTGCAGTAACGAGAATCATGTCTATTCTGGAATGGGTTTTGTGGATATGGGAGAAATATGAGTAACCTCTTTCGGTTGGGTGTTGTAATCTCCAGATATCGTATAGGTTGTGTTCTAGGAGTACTTTAGTCAGTGTTTTGCATTGTTGTGTGAGGAGTCTTGACCTGGGGGCGCCTTGGGCAAGGGAAGTGTCTTCTACCGGGTGTAAAACATGATTCATGTCTCCACATAATATCATTGAGGTTTTTTGCCTGGTTGGAATTTTGTTAAGGACTTTAAGTAAAAAGTTCCTTTGATTAACATTTGGACTATAGATCCCCACTAATGTGTACTTAATAGTGTTAATGTTGCAATAGATTATGAGATATCGGCCTTGCGTGTCTTTTTTGAGTTGCAACAATTCAAACGTAAGAGATTTGTTAAAAAGGAAAGACACTCCCCTAGATTTGGAGGAGTGAGTCGCGTGAAATTGAGTGGGAAAGTCTCTGGTACCAAATTCTGGGACTTTATTGTGTTTAAAGTGCGTCTCCTGTATACACAGGATATCTATATGGTTACGTTTCGCTGCTTCTAAGAGTACTCTCCTTTTATGCGGGGTATTAAGGCCCCTTACATTATGGGATTGTATTGTCACACTCATTGGTGAGTGATAAAGTCTTGCGTACGGGCCACTCAGGTTGCCCTGATTTCGTTACCTTGTAGCCTGTGTGTTGTTTTTTCTGTATTGTTTTAACCCATACATAAATCAGAGGTAGCATTTGTAGGCGTATGTCGCACATTAAGAGAGCTTCTGTAGCATCATAGGTACATGGAATACGGGAAGGGTAGGGAAGTTGCGGGTAGTCGGGGGGGGTATAACTTGGTTCATTATAACTCACCCCAGTTGGGGTCATGGCGCCCATCTGCGGAGCCATGGGGGGTAGATATCAAGATATCTGTTTGGGTGGCTAACGGCCTTAACGTTCTATTTATATAGAATAGGACCTGGTTCTGTGGGTGGTGACCCGTGCGTGTCTTGGTGTGATCTCTTTGTGAGAGCCCTCTTGCCATACTTCGGTATCTCCATAACCTCCTAATGCAGCAAAAAAAAAAATTGACATAATAATACATAATAATACATAATAATACATAATAATACATAATAATACATTCCCGCGTTTAGCAGTGAACAGGTAACGTTTAACGCCTATAACCATGGGGAACTGACTTAGCTCCATCATCTGCTCTTTATAGTCTTTACTTTTGCGGCTCAGGCACCTTTTATCTCGGCTTCATCATACGTTGCATTGATTGCTCAGTAGAAGGGGGTAAGAAATATGTGGCTGTCTGTGGGGCATGTTGTGTTTTTTTTTTTTTTTTTTATAAAAAAAAATTGTGTATTTGGAGCCTCCCAGTGTCCGGGTGAATCCTGATCCCATGTCCCTAATGCCGTGGGCAGGGTGATTTGATGGCAATCATCAAGCATCTTACATTACTCTATTATCCCCTTTTGGACAGCTGGGGGCTCTTATCCTTATATTATACTAATCTCTAATCTATATGTATTGCGGGATGATGCTGCAAACAGCATTCTCTTTTAAGAGCAGTCGTGTAGGGATAAAGGTTAAGCAGTGAGTTTATAAAATGTAGTGGGATATGATGGTTGTAGCCCTTATGTCAGGGCAAATGTTCGTACGGTACCTGAACCCTCAAGTAGGCAGAGACTGCAAAAATGAGTTTCTCAATGTCCTCAATGTCTCTCCAGTCTATTCTGGAAGTTTGCTTGCTGGGGGGGATCGCCCCTGTATTTGTCTGAAGTTACTGACGATCTTGAGGTTACAGAAATATCCATGTCGATTGTATCTTGCAGATGGTAATCCCTGGTGGTCGAATTCGCTGCCGTGATTCGGGAGGTGCAAGGTCAAATCTTTAGTGGGTCCCTCCAGAGGTTCAAGGCATATCAAATGCCTGAGTGGAGTGGGTTGATATGGTATGCGGGTCACCTTTCCCATTTAGCAGTGATTGTAGTCAGCTCGTTGTGCAGGTACCTTGTTCCATTCTACCTGCAAGCGACGGGAAGACGTCTCCCCCCTCTCCGTTGCTTTGCACGTTATACCCCAGGATTGCAGGAGTCTCGCTCCTTCTTCTGGTGAGAAGATGGTATGCAGCTTGCCCTCTCGGGAGATGATCATTTTTGTCGGGTACCCCCATCGGAACCTCATGCCATTGGCTCTTAAGCTGTCCGCAAGATGGGAGAGATCCTTTCTCTTTTTCAAGGTTGCAGCAGATAGATCCGCAAATATTTTTACTGAGGAGTAGTCGGGATGTGGAGCAGATTTATTTCTGCTTGTGCGCAGTATTAGCTCTTTTATATGGTAGTAGTGTACTCGTGTGAGTACGTCTCTTGGCACGGTTTCTGGCAGGTACTTTGGTTTTGGGATTCTGTGAACTCGGTCCAGGAGCAACATCTCCCCCGGTATATCAGGTGCATAGGCCCTGATAAAGGCCTCTTACATATGCCTGCAGATCTTCCGGCCCGACCGACTTCGGAACTCCCCGCAGCCGCAGGTTGTTCCTCCTGGAGCGGTCTTCAAGGTCCGCTAGTTTCACTTCAGTCATGGTAAGTTTTTGCTCCAAGTGCTCTACATGGCTCGCAAGGTCGTTATGTGCCACAGCAAAGTCGTCCATTTTGGACTCGACGTGCGTTGTCCGTTTGTTGACCTCCTGTACATCCCTTCGTAGTGAGTCCATAGAATGTTGCCAGGACATGATTAATTTCTGGGATAAGTTGTCAAGCGCTACTTGTAGGTAGCTTTTGGTAAGTTGGTCAGCTGGGTTAGCCTGTTCTGTGTCTCGGTGTGGGTCTCGCGGATTCGGGCTGGCGTCGCCATCTTGCGAAGGCCGCAGTTGCTCCGTGACATCTAGTTGTTGTTTGTTGCTAAAAAAGTTTAGTTTTTCGTTTTTTGCAGAGCTCTTCTTTGATTTAGCTTGTGCCATCTTATATTTTGGCAATTTGCAGGTCCTAATCGTCCGGATTGTGATAGATTGTCGGCCTCGGTAGCCGGAGCTCGGGTTCAAGCGACCATTAAGCTCGGCGGTTAGCCACGCCCCCCAGCTTATCATTTTTTAACACACTTGCTACAGGCACCTTCTGTCCTTGTTTTGGGGGACAATTGGATTGATGTTTTATCACCCTTTTGCCCCCCTCCTAGTTTAAATACATCCTAGCAAAACCTCTGAACTGCTCACTGAGAACATTTGTTCCCTTTTGAGAAAGATGCAAACCATCTTTTTTGTACAGCTTATCTCCATTCCAAACAGAGCTACCATGAGAAATAAAGCCAAATCCTTGCTCCCGACACCATTCACCAAGCCACAAATTAAAGTCCCTAATACGCATCCTCCTGTCGTTCTGAGTGTTATGCACAGGCAGAACTTCAGAGAATGACAGTGTGGAAGCAACCTGCCATATATCATTGGCAAAAACACTAAAAACTTCCTTAACCTCTGAAACCTCATTGCAAGCCAAGTCATTTGTCCCTAGATGTCCATCTCCACACCTCTTATGATGGAATCCCCCAACAACAACTGCTTTCTATTAGGCCTCACCATAGTCTCCAAGCCGGTCTCCACAACACCACTAGCCTCGGTGCCTGTCTCCACAACACCACTAGCCTCGGTGCCTGTCTCCACAACACCACTAGCCTCGGTGCCTGTCTCCACAACACCACTAGCCTCGGTGCCTGTCTCCACAACACCATTACACTCTGAAAGTGCAGAAAATGAATTATGAAGAGCAACAGACTGTGCAAAATGCCTTTTATCCACAACTCTAAGTCTACCAGATCCTACGGTAATCCATCTGCATTTCCTAGTATGTCTCTGCGGCAGTGGCTTTGCAGCAGTTCCAGTCTGAGTTTCTTCACCAGATAATTTACAAATCTCAGACTTCAAAAATACAATCTCCTGCCGCAAGATAGAGAACTGTCTACAGATTAGACAACAACCAAACCTCCAAAAAGTGGAATGTGAAACAAATGCATAGCATTTGTTACACTGAACTAAGTCTGCCATTCCAATTAGGAGAATAATTTAAATCTAGCAAATCTTAACTTTGTATTTATTTCCAAAAACAACTCCTTAAGGTGCATTGAAATCTGATCATTTTTGTTTTCTTCTTCCACTCCCACCTCAGGCCAGTTCTAAAGATACAGGGCAGCTTTTCGCTGCATTGCATCACCGCATTCTTGCTCTTAGGAGTCGTGCAGAGCAGGAACTGGAGATTAAGTGCCCTGACCCAGTGGGGGAGGTCACTCAGTCCAATGAGGACGACAGTGATGATGATGTTCTTACGCCAACAGGAACAGCTGCTGGAGGTAAAACCCAAAATTCTTCTTAAAGATGTGATTTAAGTCACATTGGTTTCTAGTGAAGCATACTAATGGTATGATGCATTGAGGGACTTTGTAAGCAATAACAGGTGACCGTGCAAGTGTATTATTCTCTTATGCCTTTGACAAACATGAACTTCTAGGGTTGTAATGTCTCAAGCCACTTCAGAGTGCCACAGTTATTTCACATCTGTAATTTTTTATTTGTATATTTTATCCGTATGTATTATAAACAAAAGTCTATTTGGCTAGAAATATGCATCTGTTTAGCAAGGTTTCATTTATAGCAGGTGATGTAACTAAAGGAAAAAGCTTTTCTTAATTAAGTGTGCCTTAGCCAAAAGAACAATTGGATACCTAGGAAATCTATGTATTCATATTTGAAAAAGAAAAAAAAAATTGATAATTCTTTCACATTTCAAAGGATCTGACTTAAAAGAGAGACACTATTTCCTACAAACCTTGACATAAGTTTAAATCCGCTTTATTAGGTACCTATGTCTGGCATGACAGAAGATGGTACACTGCTACTGCAAGGTACCTAGAAGCCTGGTCAAAAGTCTAAATCCGTTTTTATTAGGTGAACATGCCTGGCATGTGTTCAGCATTCAGCTAGCTAACTATCTAGGCTACGGTATATGGGTCTGAAAAATAAACAAACCAGATTTGATTGAAGGCGCAAAAGTCAAGTCAAACTGATCTCACTTTTTTCTTTTTGTTTCAGTACCCAGTGACGAAGGAGACAAGCCACCTGCTTCCACTACATAGCAGCCAACTACATTGAAACTACTCCCACTTTACTGGGCAACAGTCCACGGCTCCTTGTTGCTTTTATGCCTTCTGGAGAATTGAAGATCAACTCCTAATATTGAGGCAGGGTTGCGGACAGACTTTTCACCTAATGCCAGGAACTGTTTAATCTTTTTGTTCATGTTAAAACAGAAAAAAAATACTTTGGGCTCCCTTCAAATTTAATATTATTTTTTTTTTTTCCATATTTTTTTTGGAGGGTCATCCGGTCTTAATCAAACAGCGTTATTGAACACCAAATGGGATGTCAGAGAATATAAAATGCTCATCATATTGATGAGGCAACAGAAAAGAAAATTATATATTTTCCACACCCCTCCTCCCCTCATTTTTAGTGAGAGCAGTGCAATCTTGAGTCGTCTATCAACAATGTTCTTTTATAAGTTGAGTTGTTACTTTGCTTGACAGCCCACAAAAAAAGTTTGTACATATTACTCTCTGCCATTTAGTTGCTTTTATTTTTGGATTCCAATATCGTGCCCGAGCTACACAGTCATCGAAACACTTACAGTACTTTCCCTTATTTCCTTTTTTTTTTTTACCCCCCAAAAAATAATCTGCAGGTGGTTTGGTGGTTGCCACTTTTGCATTGAAGTTAATTTTCCAGAAACAACTTTTTTTTTTTTTTTGCGGTGCTCTAGAAATAGGAGCCTTCTCCCTTTCAAAGACTGAGACCAATTGGTCATAAACTGAATATTCCTACTTCCAGTGCTCCCCACTTTTTTTTTTTTTTTCCCTGTCTATCATTGTAATGTTGTGTTTAAAATTATATATTTTTTTTTTCTTATGTTTGGCATAATATGCGTTTGTGTGCTGACAAATGTGATTTATTTTTTGTTTTTTGTATCCATATTTAAGGGAAAATGTTAAGGAATTCTGTATCATTGTTTTCTTTAGTATTTTCTACTTTCATTTTCTTCTAACATGATTACTGTGCTGCCCTTAATGCTCTCAGCCCAGAGAATAAAGCTGTGGCTTTTTTTTTTTAAAGGAGTAGTAATGGTGATATCTATTTATAGATTCTATAAAAGCATGCACATTTAGCTTTACTAATGGGATTTGTGGTTGCAGCATATCATATTGGCTTTCTATTAATATTTCAGTCAGGTTTTGCTCCAGGTTACAGTCTCTAAATCAGTCAGGGGTTAGGAAGTACCAAACCTCCAGCTGTAAAACTAACTCCTATTTAACTTCTTGACATCTAAAACATTGCAACTCTTGCCAATGACCATCTTTTTTCAGTGTCATGGGGGTTCTGGTAACCCTATATGGAAATCCTTGAAAGCAATTCTGGGTGCTATCCTTCATTGGCAAACCTTTCTTAAGAATTGTAGAACTGTATTTTAGTATCAAATATATTGGATACATTTTTAGAAAACTCAAGGATATCCAGAGTTTTTTTTTTTTTTTGTTTGTTTTTTTGTGGCTTTATGCTCCCCAATCTCTAGGTTTTTACATTAGAACAGCTGGAGGTGTTGCTTTTGACTACTTTTCTAACGCACAGGTTGCAGTGTTCTGTTATAATATATGGACAGCCTTTCCAAGTCTGTGGTATGGCTGCCCGACTCTTCAGAGTTTTACAGATGACACTTTAAAGTGTGTGCTTTCATGTAAAACACTTTTTATTGCCATTACTGCTTTTTTAAATTTGATACAGTATGTTTTGTTTGCTAAAAGAAAAATGTGTATACAAGCATGCTCTACACTACGAACTGCAGCCACTGCTGCTTCTGTAGTTGAACAGTTTACAGTACATTGATGCAGGGATTGGGATTAGTTAACTTTAGAATTACTCATATTCATAAATAATGTGTGTGTGGAGTTAAAAAAAAAAAAAACACACACACTCTGCTGCTTGAAACCTGATCCCAGTTTATCACCTCTAAGAGAGTTCTTGCAGAATTTGTCCTCTTGAAAACCTCAAATTAAAACAATCCATTTCTCCATTACTCAATCATTGCCTCCTCTGTGGAACATCCTGGATATGGATCCTCCTGGTATGACAAGCAGAAGACTGCCATCTGACAAAGCAGCCTGTTAAAGAATTACACAATGGTTAATATGTATTAAGAGTTGAAACTTTGGACTCTGAATCCATGCTAGTTTATTTTTGAAGGGTCATCCGGGTCATTGATTAAATTCGAATTCCATAATTGATGGATTTTTGGATGATTTACCCCAAACTACTGACAATATAGAAATTTTTTTTGGACAATTCCCAATTGCGCTCTCTCTCTCTCAACTATTGTTTTTTTTTTTTTTTTAAATACATTTTAAACCTGTATTTAAATCCGAGGGATAGTAAAACTTGGGTACTACTGCATCAAGTAAAATCATTGAGATATATTGGAGTGTTGAAACTCCAAGAACCAAGTTTACTAATGCAGGAAAAAGTTACAATTTTGAAGCATACAGAGGGGTGTGTGTCTTATGAAGAAAACCAACTACTTTCATGTGTAGCTTCAAAAAAAAAAAAAATAGTCAAAGTGTACAGCTCATTTAAACCCTACCCAGGTAGGGGCTTCTGAGTAAAATGGCTCAAATATTTTGGGAAAAACTCTGGGCTGCCTGAAAACTTACTTTACAACCATTTTTAAAATTTACATTGTTATGTTTGACTCTTGCCAATGGTTTTAATTCAGGCCAAAAAAAACCCCTAAAGTCCAAGGAATTGGTGTCATTACTTTTATATGCAAAGTTTCTGGGGAAGAAAATGTGAAGTTCTCAACCATGGTTTCTTGGTGGGTACATTTGTGTATGTTTCAGAAGTAAAGATTACATACTGGTGGGATGTGAATGTTAATGTGGTAAAAGATATATTCTTCAAAATTCAGCACTCACAATAGCTAGGTGCAAACCATAGAAGTACTCACTCAAGTACTAAATTACAACAATCAATCTACAATATACCAAATGCACACTATAACAATCAAAGATATCAATATAAATCTTTAATATACAAATAACAAAGTAACAGCACAATAATCAAAAAGTAATTTACCCAAATCTTACAAGCCTCAAGGCAGAAACACAAGTCACAAACTACCCCAACGTTTCGGCACCAACTGGTTGCCTTTATCAGGTGCCCTTGATAAAGGCAGCCAGTTGGTGCCGAAACATTGGATTAGTTGGTGACTTGTGTTTCTGCCTTGAGGCTTGTAAGATTTGGGTAAAGTTCTTTTTCGATTGTTTGGCTTGTGCTGTTGTTAATTTGTTTCTGTCTTTATATACTTTATTTGTATGTTCATTAAAGATTTATATTGATATCTTTGTTATAGTGTGCATTCGGTAAATTATAAAAAGATCTATTCCTAAAATAGCCAACTTCTATGTTCTTCCCATTCTGCAACAATTTTGACTTGCAGATATTTGCTTTTGCTAGGTTCTGTCTCCATGTTCAGGATATCCTAATGGTCAAATTCACTCAAAGATTAAATTATCAGTATTACAATTTAAAAAATAATTGTAGTTTTTTTTATTTTTTTCATTTTTAGTAACCTGAATCATTTTTAGAGGTTTTTTTTTTTTGTAAAGAAGTTTTCCTATTTGCTTCCTTATCTATTTTCAGTTCTTTCAAATGTTTATATTAAATTGTCAATAATAAAAAATAATTACTAATAACAGGGGAAAAACTGTAACGAACGTCACCCGATGCTATATAAAAAAAAAAATGTGTCCCACAACTAAAAAGTAACGGTTAAGAAAGCCTTGTATAAAATAATAAAAACAAACAAAACAAAATTTTTTTTCGATGCTGCTCTATATGAATCAGGCTATATTCTTTCAGTTCTGATGTAGAACGTTAACCCCTTAAGCACCAAACTTCTTGAATAAAAGGGAATATTGAAATATCACACGTGTTCTTAAGGGGTTAAATAAATGCCCCATAGCAGAAAGATCATATAAAATGGATTCCAGAGGTTTGTACATCTTTTAATGGGTCATAAAATAAGCTAAAATTTATATATGGATAAACAATAAAAACAGAACTTATTGTACCTCTTTCTTCTCATTCTAAATGTGGGAAAAAGTATTCCTTCCCCTCCATGTAGTTATGGCATGAATTAGGACATACATTTCCTTGTAGGCTTTTAAAAACAAACCTGTTTAAAATATATAGTATTTGTTCCCCTAGGTTTAAAAATGTGAATTCATGCCTTGATTGTGTCACGGCTGCATTCTTCTACTTTGTGTTTGAGGGACTTAATCTGGTTTTGCGAGTAGGGGCATATCTATTAAACAGTGAGAAGCCTGTGGCTTTTTTTTTTTTTTTTAAAAGGTGTCCCCCCCCTGATTTCAAGCCATCCAATCACAGTGCTCTGTGTCATTTTACACAGCGTGGGAAAGTTCTTTTGAATTTTCCCACGCTGTGTAAAATGACAAAGAGCACTCTGATTGGCTTAAACCAGCCAATCAGAGTGTTCTTAGCCTAATTGCAGGGCGAGGCAAGGCTTTATAAGCCTTCCCCCGCCCTGCAGAGCTCAGTCTGCGCGAGCCCTCCATGGGTGAAGATGGATTATTTTTTTGTGTGCTCGTGTTTTTTTTTTTTTTTTTTAAATTGCGTCTGTTCTTATGGCTTTTTATTTGGTCTTTTTTGGGGCTGAAAAAAGAAGATTGTAGAAGAAAGAAAACATCAAATGGTAAGTTATTTTTACCAAACTTTTTTTTACAGGTTTTTAGTTAAAGGTACCCCCCCTCATTATTTTTAGGGTGAGGGGGGTAGGTAGGGAGATAATTTCTAATTTCTTCATGACTAGGGTCCCCCCCTTTGTATTTAGGGCCCCCACCCACCGCTCAGGGGTGGGGGCTGGGGGGACGACAATAGGTTCCCCCCTTATTGTTAATTTTAGGGCCCCCACCCACCGCTCCGGGAGGGGGACAATAGGTCCCCCACTTATTGTTAATTTTAGGGCCACCGCTCAGGGGTGGGGGCCGGAGGGGGACAATAGGTCCCCCCCCCCTTATTGCTAATTTTAGGGCCCCCACCCACCGCTCAGGGGTGGGTGCCGGAGGGGGACAGTAGGTCCCCCCTTATTGTTAATTTTAGGGCCCCCACCCACCGCTCAGGGGTGGGGGTCGGGGGGGACAATAGGTCCCCCCCTTATCGTTATTTTTAGGGCCCCCACCCGCCGCACAGGGGTGGGGGGGGAGGACAGTAGGTCCCCCCCCCCCCATTATCATTATGGCCCCCACCTGCCGCACAGGGGTGGGGGCCGGAGAGGGGGAGGACAGTAGGTCCCTCCCTTATTGTTTTTAGGGCCCCCACCCACCACACAGGGATGGGGGAGGACCGTAGGTCCCCCGCCCTCATTATCTTTATGGCCCTCATATGCCGCCCGGGGGGGTTGAGAGTAGGTCTCCTCCCCCTCCCTCCCTTCAACCAGTAAGAGTCCCTGTGGGTTTTAAAATTCGCCTGCCTATTGAAGTCTATGGCGGTTCGCGAACAATTGCGGGAGTTTGCGTTCGCGGTTCGCGAACCGAAAATTTTGTGTTCGCGACATCACTAGTAGTAGGTAGAGGAAATGGGAAGCTTATTGTTTTCATGTTAGAAGTTTTTGATGTGTAACTAGATTTTGCACATGTCAAAGCTGAAAATTACCCCCCTTTCCCAAATAAAGCAAATTAAAATCTATTTCTCTAGATTGCAAATCCATGTTACAAACTTCTTATCAAAGAGACGAATGATTAACACACAATACAGTGTTACGGCAATTAAAATTAATGTAACTAAAGCCCCAGGTCCATATTGTATACCACAGTGTATTTTTTATTTGTTTAAATAAAGGACAAATTCATTTTGAATAGATTTGTGCATGATGAAAAATTTGATTAGTCTGAAAACATTTTGTTTGATTTGCGGGGTGCGGGGAAGTAAATAGGAAAAAAAAATAAAAAATATATATATTTTTTTTTTTAACATTTCTCGCATATCAAGTTAGAAGTAACAGAGGGGATGGTGGGGATGGGGACAAACCTTAAATTATATCTAGATTTGTATTTATTTTTCTTTCTACAAATTGAATTCCGCCTATTGGTTGCTTCTCACTTAAAGGACCATTATGGTCTGGGTGTCAGGTCCATCTAGTGTTAAACCTGCAGCTGAAAACAGAAGTTTCAGTGAAACTGCTATGTTTACAATAGGGTTAGTCCAGCCTCTAGTGGCTGTCTCATTGACAGGCGCTAGAGGCTGCTTTCGCGATTCTCACTGAGAAAATCACAGTGAGAAGACGCTGGACGTCCATAGGAAAGCATTGAGAAATGCTTACCTATGGGCGGTTTGAATGTGCCCGCGGCTGCGCATGAGCATTCGGTGCTGACGTCGGCAGGAGGAGGAGAGTTCCCCAGCGCCGAGGGAGCCCGGCGCTGGAGAAAGGTAAATGTTTTAACCCCTTCAGCCCAGCGGGAGGGGGGACCTAAAGACCCTATAGTGCCAGGAAAACGAGTTTGTTTTCCTGGCACAATAGTGGTCTTTGAAGTGGAGCAAATGGCACAAAAAGTTACCAAGTTCTTGTACTGCAAGATATAGATTAAGAGTAAGGTGTAGCACCCCGTATTTCGGACGCAGAAGTTCCAGAAAATTGTCTGTCGAAAGCCCCAAACTCCTTGTAATTATTTTGAGCATAGGACCACATGTGCTGCCAGTCAGAACTTTAACATGGTGGTGTTTCCTCAACACTACATAGATCTGAGCGCTCTTTGGAGTACTTGGGGGCTCAGATCAGGGCTATTTGGGAAGGTATTATATGTTGGGTTATATATTTTTATGATATTTTGTTTTATGGTTTTTTATTTTTGTGTTTGTCTCTCTGTTCCTGGGAGATAACTAGCTTACCGGTCTTTAATGCAATTATCTTCCAGGCACAGATCATTATGGGAAGGGCTTGTCTTGTATTGAATTGAGACCTCATGCTGGGGGCTGTGTATAAAAGCAGGGAACTTGACTGTAATAAACCAGTACCTTTACACCCTTCACTCTGGGCTAGTGTTTGGGTGGATCAGCTATACTCTCTGCAGGAGAGCTTAATTACTTGAAGCTGTACCCAGGACCCTGTTCCAGGGCGGGAAGCGACAGAAAGACCCCAGCCAAGATGCGGTGGCTAGGGTCTGAAGCACTTCTTTGTCCCAGAGGGGATCTAGGAAGCCGGCTTGACCGGAGGTACCCAGTCAGGGTGCCAGGCAGTCCGTCACAAAGCTTATACAGGAACACAAAACTATAAATGGAATAAACATAAATAGCCCTTGAATGTATATTCTGCAAGCTGAAAGAGACCATAGAATGTTCTTAACAAACCTGCATAAATTGGCAGATACTTTGTCAACTGTGATTGGTACATACATGGCTATCTCTATTTGGTTTCTATACTGGTAACTCCCCCAACTGTAGTCTCTGCATATTGACGTCATATATTTAGACTGTGGCAGATGTTGGGGTGGGAATTTACCATTCTTCCACAAGTAATTGCTTGTTTAGTTGATCTAACTTTATACACGATTGTGGTGGCCACCCAGATAGAAACACTGGTTTCACTGCCAGAGATGTCCTTTTCCCCCTAGTAACGAGCTATGCTATAATCCAAAGTGAGTATAGTCCAAAGTGAGTCTATAGCAGGTATAGCTTTCCCTCACAGACATTAGTCGGGACTGAATGCTGGGGGTGGACTGGTTTATTGGAAGCCACACATGGTCTTTTATGCAACAGACTCTGCAAGGGGTTTCCGACTCAACATTACAGGGTAATACCCCCATGGTTTTCTCTGTACCTGAGAGAGAATTATTTGAAAGTAAACATCTAAATTAAATTATCTCTTAGGTACAAAACATGTACAATTGTTACACCCCAAATTACACACAATACAATCAGGTACCCCCTCAAGTCCTATATCTCTGGCTAGATTGGATCTAAGCGCCCAACATATCCAAAAAGCACGCAGATCCCACGAACGCAGCCAAAACGCCACCGTGGTAAGTTCTGACTGACCGCACATGAGGTCATAATAATTGCTTAGGAGGGAGTGGGTAATTTGCGTTGTGTGCCCTACTGAGAGATGGTGGGGTTGCATGCTGTACATAGGTTATTGCACGGGTGGTTGGGAGAATGTGGTCATAATGGCCTAAAACTATGAAAACAGTTATATTAAAAAAAAACCTAACTGGGTACTATGGTTAAAACAGTGTGGAATAATATAAGGTGATACAATGAGATGCGGCTGCCAATCTCAGGTCAGGTGGTCTGCCGCCCTTGGCACTGTTCCCCTGGGCACAAAAGGATTTATTT